TTTTTACTAAAGGTGTGTGTGAGTAAATGTGGCCCTTGAACAGGAGGGTGCTGCACTGGAAAGGCAGAAAGAGCAGTAATTATGGTCTCCCATGTTCAGCAGAAACATCAGAGGGAAGTAATTTGTTGCTCTATATTTAATCAGTGGAGATAACGAGACTGACTGCGGCCGTCTGGGCCTATGGGCAGGCGGACAACCTTGGACACTATTTCCTCCAAAACCCATTAGTCCTTAAGGCCGCCAACTTCATTGTCTTATTTCCATATTTTCTGCGTTCAAATAGTCATTATCCCTTTTATATCTCCAGTTTACTCATGTGTACACTTTTTGTTCCGCACCTTTTTTCTATTTTCATTCATCTCCCTGTCCTCCACTTGTTTCCTCACCACTGTCTTAACTTGACTTTTAAAAAGGATGTTTTATCACTTTTGTCACCTGAAGCGTCTCCTGTGCATCTTTTCTCTTCACTTCGGCGCCCTCATTATCCTTATCCCTTATTAACTCTGCCCATCTCTCCATTCCTCTCTTAGGGTACAAGTAGAGTTCTATGTGAATGAAAACACTTTCAAGGAGCGCCTCAAGCTTTTCTTCATCAAAAACCAAAGATCCAGTGAGTTTCTGGTGTTTAACATCACACCCTCTCTGAGTGTAGTTGGTTGTGAACTCTTTGTTTGCTGTCTGTGTTTCTACATGAGTTGCTCCTGTTTTTTGGCTATGGAATATGTGTTTCATTTTGGAATTTAAAGTGGCGTTGGTCTTGCTCTGTGTTTCATCACCCGTTATCCTGCTTGTCCTCTCTTTGTGACTAGGTTTTATCTCTCTGTAATGACTGATATTCTTTTTCCCCGGTAAGCCTTTAAAATGGCAATCTATTTACCGGCAGGTTTGTTTAGAACTTGATATGGGGAGGTTTGTGACGGTCTTTGACTTTCATCTTCTTTCTCAATCACAGGTCTGCGAGTACGAATGTTTAACTTTGCCCTTAAAGTGCTGAGCTGCCTCCTTTATATTGTCCGGGTCCTGCTTGACAACCCTCAAGATGAGAGACAGGACTGGTGAGAAAAATTTTGATAAAAGCGGCTGAATGGGCTGAAATAAAGAGACACAAAGACAATATATTTAAAACACTTCATAAAAAGGTTTGGATGTGAGATTAGATTTGGTGGGGATGCATTGTAGAACCTAAACCAACATTTTCCCTCGGTAACGAATTAGTTCAGTGTTAGCAGCGGGTGTTTGACAGGGAAGTTTCTTTTATTGTTGTTTTTGTTCTCCGACAGCATCGGCAGTGTTAACTGCAGCAAACAAAATTCATCATCCCGTCCCTGGAGTGAGTTTGACTGGTAAGTATGCAAACATCTAATTAGGAGTGATGGTTTATGCTGGCAGAAAAGGACCATGAAACCGCACACCCCAAAGCACTGACATCCCAGACCCCGGCTCGCTGGTCGGAAATATTATATAGCACCATCGATGTAACTTCACTTAACTGATGCAATCGCAATGTTGATGTCAAGCAACACAGATCCACATTCATTCGTCACAATCCAGCAGTATGGATTACCTGACAACATAATATGTCTGTAGTACCCGTGGAGGCTTAATCAACAGCGATCTAGTGGAGATAGAGTACGTAATATACAACAACAGAGACAGAGGAAAGCCAGAGTGTGCTTGGACCCAAGGCTACGACATGTCTCCTGCACAGGGACCTATTGATCTAATTGATGTCTAATGACACTGGCTAAGCTCTGGCTCCAAATGAATAAGGAGCCTGACAGAATGAGCTCAGGAGAGGGGCCGTCCGCCTCCTGCCACAGGCAGCATACTCATAGCATCAGTGGAGATAGAACTAATGGCAAGCAGTCACGATAAGCCCCAGGGTGTCTTAGAGGAAAAAAAAGCAGCCTTTCTCTCACAATAAAGGATGTAAATTTGACTGTGAACATCCCTGTCCTCCTACAATATGAGCGCACGGTGATTCAGCAGTAAAGAGCGTAATTAAAACAGCGACATGAGTTGTGTTTATGGTCCCCTTTGAAAGGGGTCACTGAGTTCAGCAAAGTAGTTTTATATATTCCTCTTTTTAATGGCATCTGTCTAACTTTTTCCTGTTCTTTCCCCTCCCTGCGCGGCTGAAGGAAACTTATCATCTGGGTTGATAGACCTCTGCCGCTGTGGGCACTGCAGGTCAGACGCATCACCGCACTGCAGTTTAAACAGGCCTGCCTGTTCACAGGCATTCCTGTATGCCAGAAAGCGCACATGCACCGACCAGGCAGGATGGCACGAGCCACATTTTCTCAGGAGGATATTGCATAGTACCCATCAACGTTACGCACAGTAATTTCAGTGACTACAGCTGACTGATCCAGGGATGCGTGCCAAAACTGCAGCGTCTCCGTTACGTTTAGGTCTCGTAATTTCAGGGATTTAAATCTGAACTCAGATAGTTGGCATGCTTGGCATGATTTCCTCCTTGAAGAATGTTGATACACATGTGCAGGTATAAAATAAGAGACCAGGCTGTCTTAGTTCATTTCAACCTATTCCCTCTGAAGCACAAACATCAGCACACCCACTGATTCCACCCACGCACCCATCTCTGCGACTGTTAATTTCTCTCTGCTCTGGTCCCTCTCTGACTATCTCCACTATCCTCTCTGTCTACTCTCTCACCATGTCGAAGCATTTGTCTCTTACGTCTTGCGCCCTCTCCCTACCCCCCACTCTTTTTGCAGGTGCTTGTGGCTTTCATCAGCTTTTCAGAAACTATGTTGCTCGTGTATCTCAGCTACAAGGTGAGCCACTCACAGCCCCCAAAGGCCACTCTGAAGTCTTTTATGATGTGACTATGATGTCCACGTGTGTGATGTCTTTGTAAAATTGTTGTGAGTGGGGATGGATGGGGCATGTATCAATGTCGAATTCTCTCTAAACCGAGTATCTGTTTTGCTTTGTTGCTGGAGGGCCCTTGGAGCTTCCTTACATTCTACTGACATAGATCTGAAGGACTGTAGGGGAGGCCCCTGTGCTTAAGCGTTGGGGGTCCAAACCATGGATGGGTTACCCTGCCTTTGATGTACTTGACACTATAAGCCTATGAAGGGCTCACAGCACAGATTACTCTGGAGGCTAGAGGCCTTAGCATTTAGAGCTGACTGATTCCTGTGGACACAGCCTATGTCTGTCCACCTACACTAGTTAGATTCAGGTCAGCCACATCCAGGCAGCAGACACATAAAAACGGCCATGCCTGACATCTTAATTGAACAGCAAGGCTCAGTGGAAACTGAGTAATGCTGCTTCTTCTCACAAAGGACTCAAGGGAGTTGTATAACCTGCATACATCCCTATCTTTTCCACGGCGCAAAAGCTCATCAATTTGTCCCTTTCTGCTGTGCGCATTCAGGTCTGTTATGTGCTAATCCCATAAGGTCACCAAGACAATGGAGTTTCCTGACCCTTGTGTGTGGTTTGTGTTTCCAGGGCAACGTTTGGGAACAAGTATTGCGTGTTCCGTTCATTTTAGAGATGATCAGCGCCATTCCTTTCATGATCACTGTGAGTTGAGAGATAAGTATTACAGAGCACTGATAACATGGGAAGTCTCTCAGGCAACCATTTTTTTGGCAGAGAATGGAACATCACTCTGTTAACAGCTGCCACAGAAATATCACAACATGCACACTCCCAGAATCCCCTTTCTCACTAAAGATCCCATGATAGTGCAACATAATAAAAGGAGGTTATGTAACATAGTCAGTAAGCTTTTTTCTTCTTGACAGGTGATTTTGCCCTCCTTCAGAAATCTCTTCATCCCTGTATTTCTCAATTGCTGGCTGGCCAAACATGCTCTGGAGAACATGATTGTAAGTAGCACCCTAGGCCCATAGGTAATTTGAATTTGTCCATTGTTGTCGTCTTGACATCTGTGTAATGTTATCATGCTATCTCACCAAACCTTAAAACTCTGCTTTGAGAGCCAATCTGTGGGGAAACAAACCAATAACCTGAATCCGACCGGTTTATCTAAACAAACCCTTTCTCTGTTTGTTTGTTTTTTTAAGAAAATGCTTTTCATTGTGTCTTAGAATATTTTGATGAGTTGTCTTTTCCATCTCATTCTCTTAGGAATTTTAATATTCTGTTAATTTCCTTTGAATATCTACTCATTTTATTTGTTTATCGAGCTAATTCTGTATGGATTGTTATCTCTTTCTTTACAGAACGATCTGCACAGAGCAATCCAGAGGACACATTCAGCCATGTTTAACCAGGTGGTGATACTTATCAGCACGCTGGTCTGTCTCATGTTTACATGGTGAGAACCATCACTACTGATAGTGAAACGGGGGTCAACAAGTGAAGAATAGCAATATATTAAATGGGGATTGAATAGGAAGTGAACTGTGACACAACAGAAATGGGAAAAAAAGATGAGATACGCAGGCAGTGGTGTGAAACCTGCAGAGAAAAATGTCATATTAGGAAATGAAAACTAACCACTGGGGGCAAGAGAACAAATGGCTGAAAGTGGCGAGAGACTTCTTTGTGAGACTAAGATGATGCTCATAAATGACAGCTGGTGAGTTCAGTAAGTCCAGGAAATGGTTCTGACGCAGTTTGGGTTCATCTCTGACCATTTCAGGGTTCACATTTATCTGTTGAGTCCCTGTTAAAGATTTCCCTAACAAATGGAGCTTTTACCTCCTCATGAATTAAATTTCAACGAAGGCTCAAGCTCAAGTATGAATTCACCTCCCGTCCTGCACAAACAAAGTCACACATATGCACAGGTGTGAAAAAAAACCAACCATGACATCTAAACCTGACATGACATTATGGTGTTTTCTTACTTTTAGTTTTACTTCATTTTCTTACTTTTTCACTGTCTCCACATTTTCTACTTTTTCTGACCTACATAAGCATCTGTGGCATCCAGCATCTCGAGCGTGCGGGCAACAACCTGACTCTTTTCGACTCGCTGTACTTCTGCGTGGTGACTTTCTCCACGGTGGGTTTTGGAGATGTCACCCCACAGATCTGGCCGTCGCAGCTCCTGGTAGTCATCATGATCTTTGTAGCACTTATCGTGCTACCCATTCAGGTGAGAAAAATTGCCTCTGACGCAAGCACATTACAGACAAGAAGATAAAAAGGTTTCAATTTAAAACAGAAAGCAACGAAAATGGGATTTAAATCACAATCCTTAAAGCAGCTTTCAATGGTTGAGTTGACAAGCCCTGAAAAGCCAAATCCATTTCACCTTCCTCATATTTTATTTAACTTTTCAAGCATGACAGAGGTCTACGAAGCAGTCCTCCAGCTTGAAAATAGAAAATCCGCCATATGATGAGTAAAGGTGTGCATTAAGAAATTGAATGACTTAGTTTTACTTGGTATGCCCAAATATATAACTGTATTCCCTTGACACTAACAATTATTCCCTTCTAACATTGTAAAATAATCATCAAATGCTGATCAACATCACAGATTTACTCAGAGTCCATCACACAGACTTAATTCCTAACAGAGCCCTTAGCTGCAGCATCATGTTGCCGTCTTAAATCTGTCTTATGTCTTTCGGTGGCTCCACAGAGGGAAATTGATGATCCACAACCAAAAGAGGTTTTTACACACATACAGAGACTAATAAAACACCTTGACAAATGTAGCAGTTGAAAGGTATCCCTGCGGTCCTTCTCCATCTTTGTGTACACCATTTATCCCTTGGGAAGCTGCCTTATCTGTGTCTCTCCCAGAAGACGCAAAGGTGCTAATAGTATTTATTTCTCTGTGTATGCACTGCACCGACAGTTGGAAGACTTAATTCTGACATGGGAAATAATTAAAAAATACAACCAGTAACTCACAAGTAATGATGCAACAAGTTGTTGTTAGCTTTTCTTTCTTTACTTTTATTTCAAAGGTTTATTCTGTTACCGACTGGTAGGGAGTTTCAGTTTTTTTTCAGGCAGTCAGAACTGAAGAAGCTTTTCAGATGAGATGTCAAAAGTAATAAAAATCAAAGATGATGTTGCCTCTTTTTCAAGCACTAGGATCATAATTCAGTTCTTTTTGTCACTGAGTAATTTCCTGTGCCCACAATTAAATTTTTAGTTGTTCTGAACAACATTCCTCTGGCAGAATTCCCTCACTTTAAATTATCATATGTTACGGGATCAATGTTTTCTCACGATTCTCAGAATCTAGAATGAACACTATCTGGACATTTTCAGAATCGATATTCAGACATCAACAAGCCAGATGGGTTAGAAAACATGTTGCATTTGTATGTGGCTGTTTATACACGTAATTACAGTACTGACAAGGAGAAAAGCTATTACAGTTGGGAGATTTGCTACTGGACATATTCTAATAGCAATTCCAGGAGCTTTATCTGATCAAATGCTGAAGCGGTTTGCCACATAAAACTGGTGGTGTGGGCCTGCATCCCACGCATGCATGATCAAGGAGCTTTTGACAAAGCTCTCACAGTTTTTTTTTTTGCTTTGACCGGATGGTCACAAATATCTTCACAAAGCTTTCACAACCTGGAAGATTTTTTTTTCTTCTCAGCATAAGGATTCTCTCTTAACTTGTTTGAGTTAGCTCCTGAAAAAACAGTGTTCTGTTCATCACTGACATGGTTACCATTTCATCCTATCCGCTCCCGCTCTTTTTCTTTCATCCATAAATACCCCCTTGACATTTCGAAGCTGGCCCCTGCCGGCCCCCTACCCCATGCGTTTGTGTTTGTGTGGGTGTATGCGTGTGAGTGTATCTCTGTCCGAGCCTGTGTCCTGCCACATCTAAAGTACAGGCTGCTTAGAGCCACAGGTCAATCCAGAATGATCTTTTCTCTCAATCCCTCGCTGCTTGCAGTGGTTTTGCTTTTCGTGACCATTTTATTCTTTGGGAAACGTTGCTCCTATGATCGTTCTAATTTGTAAATTAGCTAAAAGGCCACCCGTCGAGGTAATTTCTCTTGATTTATATTCACTGTCACCATTCTGGGGAACAAATATTGATATTTTCTACTAACCACCTGATTGTCATTACAGTTCATCACATCAGATCACTACTCTGCCTTTGAAACATAAGTATGCACACAAAATAGGTGGTTAAAATTCAATATCCTAAAGATGTGGACAGTCTTCAAAACTTTGTTAGACTGGCCAAGTATGTAAATCCAATTCATCTGGTTCAAAGGGATCTCTTCCCAGAGAGAGCACTTAAATGGGATATTCATCTGAGTCATTATCAACCGTTCAAGTTTTAATGTCTGACAGATCATGACCTTCTCCAGTACAGCAGGCATTCATTAGGTCCTCACCCACCACCAACATGACAAGAGCTGGCTTGCTTAGCATTTTAGTGTTTAATCTGCAGGAAATTCTCCACTCAAGCATTTTTAAACATATTCAATTTAGTTTCTTTCTGCTGCCAATCACCCTCCTGCCCCCCCTCCACCTGATACTTCCACCAACATCGGGGTAGTTTTGTTCAAGTCACAATTTCCATGACCTATTTTTCCAGTGTTAACACCCACTATTATGCTCCACTCATTCGGTGTCTTGAAATCTCCACTTATCTTAATGTACACTCTCCCTAATCAAATGGAAACACTATACAGTACAAGGCACTGCTATCTTTTCCTATGCCACCTGGGCCTCGGCTATATTCCAGTTAACTTAATCCCATTTCCATCTGCTGAATGTGATTGATGTCGCCCTAAATGCAGTTTGAGCAGCTGGCCTTTCTGTGGATGGAGCGACAGAAATCGGGGGGCAACTACAGCCGCTACAGGGCACAGACGGAAAAACATGTGGTGCTCTGCGTCAGCTGCCTCAAGATTGACCTCCTCATGGACTTCCTCAATGAGTTCTTTGCTCATCCCCGGCTGCAGGTCTGGTTTTAAGCAGGACTAGAAAGTGATGAATGGATCCTTGTGTTTGCCTGTTTGTTTCTGTAATGATTCTTTCAAGGAGCCCAAGCTGTCCAACGAAATTGATTTATTTCACCATACTTAAAATCATATGCCTTTTTAAGTGTGAGCGTTTCCTGAAGGTGTGAATATGGCTGATGCTGTCAATTCCCTGCGTTTTCAGTTTGCTCTGGTATATGTGAGGTGCATTTAAAAAATTTGGTGAATAAAGATAATTCATGCATTGTTTGAGTGATGACAATGTAAGCACAAGTATACATTTTTTAATTAATTCATGTAATAATATAATGTAATTATTCATCTAATAATTATTTATTATACATTTAATTCTGTTATTATTTTAAAATAATCCCAAAAGATTGAGGGATTTCCCATTGACATCTTCCTTTTTCTTCAACAACATTTGCTCATAATACAGACCGTGTGTTTGCATTTGTGTGTAGGACTACTATGTGGTGATCCTTTGCCCTGCTGAGATGGATGTCCAGGTTAGGAGAGTCCTTCATGTCCCTCTGTGGGCACAAAGAGTCATCTATCTGCAGGGGTCTGCCCTCAAGGACCAAGACTTGATGAGGGCCAAGTGAGTCATTGTGACTGTTTTTCTTCTTCAGAGGCCTAACTATTACAAAATGAAGCCCAGATAAAACATAAAAATAACTCAAATTAAAGAATTTTGATATAAAATCATTACACATTGAGGATGGAGTAATAACACCCATATAGACACGTGACTCCTTGCTAGCTCTTAAGAGAAATGAGAGGATCCCCTTTCCTGATAACTTTTTATACTTCCTACATCTCATCTTAAATTCCCTGGCCTTAAATGTTACACAGGTACATTTGTTGTTCTATTGCCTTGCTTTTTTTCTCTCTTGTACCCTCGTCTCAAATAAAAACTCTCTCCGTCTTGTGTCTCACGGCTTCTCCAAATCCCTTCTCTCTCCCTCCCACTCCTTTTCCGTCTCTGCTCCCATGGCTCAATGCTCTGCTAACTACCTGAAGGATGGATGACGCTGAGGCCTGCTTCATCCTCAGTAATCGCTTTGAAGTGGACCGCATTGCTGCTGTACGTTCCTCACCACTGGCCTGTCTTGCCATTATGGAAAAAACACACGAGACCATAGCCAGTTGCTTAGGTTTTACTTTCTTATAAACATCTTGAAAACAGCTGTATTATCATACAATAACCTTTTTCTTATGCTGCTTTAGTTATAAAAACTAAAATCAGATTAGTGATCAATTGTTTAAGCATTGGGTTAATTTATTTTCAAATTTGTTTATTAAAACCCTTTGGAGGATCTAGCAAAAATCAACTTAGATTAGTTGGGAAACAGCTCAGACATTCTCTAGCCATCAGTTTAAAGAAAAAGAGCTTCAAACGATGGCTTTAAATGACAAAAAGTGTTTCACACTAAAAGCTAAACCGGTGCCTTCTTTTCTTGACAAAATCAAACTCTTACTTAAGAGCACTAAACCTTCCAAGCTTTCTTTGAGCCCTGTCAATAATCTGGTTTCAGACTCTTGGCTGAACATACAAAACATGCTGTGGGATTTTTTGTCTCTCCTTTTCAGTAAGAATGGCCTGGTCCTATAATTCCTTTGGTAATCCTGCAACATTGAATTGTCGTGAAACTGACAACTTGTTTTTTCTCAGATATTTCTAAAACAGTATTTCTAAATAGCTTTGTCACCTCAAGCGTGTATTCTTCATAGCTTCAGCTGTACATGTGAAAAGTGCCCAGAAAATACTGAACAAGGTGCAAACACATTTGAATGTGTTTCTTATAAAAACACAATCCATCAGAGAAAAGGTCATTCTGAACATGTTTCTCCTTTACTGAGTTACCCAAACAAGCATACATAGCACATCCTTACATTATTCAATACTTAATGTGTTGTGCTTCTTTATGGACAAATTGTTACTAATTAACCTATCTGGGACAGTGCTGGATGGCCAGTGTGTTTTTTTTTATCAGGATATTTCAACCCAAACAGCTGACAATCAAACTGTCTATCTTCCAACTGGAAGAATAAACACTGCAATGCTCAAACCATGCGCAGACCTTCTCAACAGTTAGCCACAGGGACTGAATCAGGTCATTCCAAACCTTTTGCATTGTTAACAGTCTTCTCAGGGCCACAGCTAGCAGGCAACAATGGCCTTTACAAAGTCTGTTATGAGCCTTCAGAATTGTACCACTCCGATTGCATTCAGTTGCCTCACAAAATCAATTGTTTTGTTTTTTAGGGAGATTGTTAGAAAAAAGCTACAATCTGATGCTGCTACCTTATCGTCCCGCTTTCTCTGCCCCACTGTATCTTGTCTCATGTCTATTCACTCTGTTTTTAATCCTGTCAGGATCATCAGACCATCCTCCGCGCCTGGGCAGTCAAAGACTTTGCTCCAAACTGCCCTCTTTACGTCCAGATTCTTAAACCAGAGAACAAGTTCCACGTCAAGTTTGCAGGTGGGCTCTGAGTGTTTAATGAAAGATACTGAAACTAAATAAAAATGTCAGCTGTTAGTTGCAACTGCTTTAACTGGATGTAAGTTTGATGACACTTGTTAATTATACTTCTTCAAGGTAGAATTTGCAGGACTGATTTTGTCTTTTGTTTATTTTTACTGGAATCGTGTTGTCGCCATTCATAATGTCTATTAAAGATTATGGAGTTTTATTCACTTATCTATTGATATTATCTTACTGATACCTTATTTGTCTATTTCTTTTTTGGAGATTGTGCAGCTGCACAGCTTTCTCTTCCATTCTGGGAAATATTGGCATATCTTGTCTTTATGCCTTATTAGGGTTCATGTGACTTTTGAATAATCTTTTGGGGGGCTCCATTTTAATCCTTTTAGATGCCAGTTGTTAAACTATGGTTTAAAGAGGAGGACTTTCCCCTACACAGTTGTCAGCCTAAAACTCCTGAGGATGTCAAACTCAATTTTAGCCAGCCACTTTTATTCCATTTGTCTTTATCAATGATTAATGTCTTACTTTGCTACCTAGACAAAGAAAATCCCTTCTTTTGAGGAGTTCTACAGCAGTGCTAACATGACAGAAGCACTCTCCCTGCAGCATAATCCTGCTGTTGTGCTTTTAAAGCACCTCACAGTCAGACTGGGGCTTTTGTTAATGCCAACGCCGGAAATGTTTGGCAAAAAAGGATGTCATATTTCATCCATTACCTTCTCTGCAATTCAAAACTAGCAGTGCCCTGCTAATATACAATGGTAGTTCAGCATTGAACGATGTATAAATTGTTTCCTATTCAATAGCCAAAAGCTCTCACAGAATAGCTGTAACAGCTGTTACTTTGCAGTAATGCAGGGATTTCTGAGACTCCTCTTAATGGCTGTAATAAAGCAAAGTCAGAAATAAATTGTGTTTATTGTCCTCTGATTCATGACAGACTCAGAAAAAACAACTTGGCATGCCAAATGCAGATCAGATCAGTTGAACCACTTGGAATCCACCCATCAGGAGATGTTGTGGCAGTGATGAGCAGGAAATACAAGGCTTTTGGAAAAAGCTTGTCGTCATGATACATGGCCGTAAACATAGAGGACTTTGAGTAATTAAACAAAAATGGACATTTATTTTGAATAAGAATAACTTGTGGCCCTCCTATTGCTTCAGAGGGCTGCTATCAGCTCACCCACAGCCCACCTCCAGTAATAGCTTACTGATTTAATTAGCTTAACCGGTGGTTGAAGTGTTATTGCACTTTTGGAGATGCTGCGAATAACCACACTTACACGGACATGATTTGTGCACACAGGGTTACAGTGTTGGTCCTTGTTTGTAATAGAAAAATATCCAAACTCAAGAGAGAGAGAGTCGAAACACCAAGATCTTTGAAGTGAGAATCGCAGAAAAGGAGTTTGTCTTTTAGCTCAGGTTTATATGTTTTTGTGTTTGTGTGTCAAAGGCTGTGACTGGTAGTCTAAGTTTCTGAAGGATGGAGAGTTTTGTTGAGTTGTAGACCTGGAAACAGATTAGATAGAAACTGAATATTTGGGGAACAGATTTATAAGTGGCTCCCTTGTCTCTGCTTTTGCTTTTGCAGGACAGAGGGGAGAATGTGTCTATAATATTAATGACTGTTTGTCTTCCATTCAAACAAATGGTTTCCTTTTATGTCTGTTTCCTTTGCAGCCTTGAAATTTCAATTGCTGTATGAAACCTTTGACTTTGTAATGAACTGACAGAAATCAGAATTTGATTTTTTTTTTCTATACAACCTGTCCAAGGTCTTTCAGGGTCTACTGTGCGTTTTAGCTGCATTTTGATCTGCGGCTTTAAACAAGAGGAACTCTAGCACTCAAATAAATAGGTTCACAGTCAGTAGCTTCAGTTGTCGTGTTTATAATCTGCACACCCTCGAGCCCACACATACCTCTCTGAATTAGTATGATCTACATCTAGCTCATCACTGGTGCATGCTTTTCACACTGTTGATGGAGTTTGATTCTCAACTCGGGCTCTGATGTTTTGCCACCAATTATTTCCTAATGCGGAGCACACTGTATGCTTTTAGGGTCCAGCTCAGCATCACAAACAGGCAGCCTAAAATGCTGTGCGTTAAAGTAAAGACAATGTAATTAAGAATCACAGATCAGAGGAAATGGGTGCTCCCTTGGCCGGCAACTCTGATTGGCTTACTGCAAACATTAATTGCTCTATTGGATTTTCTTTTCAAAGCGGAGGCTGTGAGGCAACAGGTAAACAGGCATGTCATCTGTGTTTGCTCGGTTTGTTTTGCCTACAGGCAGGCCGGCGTTAGGTGTTGGCTGATGTGAGCCAGAGGTGGCTGAATTAAGCTGACACCAAATCCCTGGTTTGTTGCTAGGCCTTCCCATCCACTCCCCCTCCTCCTCTGCTAAAAGCGGTGGCATGAAATTGATGCTTTCTGAGCGGACATGCTTTGTGTCTAAGCAGCTACGAGAGGATCTATGGCACAGCTGCCCAGTTTAGTCTAGTCATCTTTGACAAACCTCAAGCAGTATTTTGTATGTTTCAACATTTACCACTGTTGTAGTTGCGGAGTTTGACAGGGAGCCTGTAGCTGTCTTTTGTTTATTTTTAAGTTTATGCATTTAGCAGACGCTTTTATCCAAAGCGACCTCCAAAGTTGTCTGTCTTTTAGTCTTGTCAGCACAGTGAGTAAAAGCGATGGATGATTCTGAGTGCTGCTGAGTCAGCAGAACACATTCTCTGTGTTAGGATTCATAAGAGAAAGCTGTTGTGCTGTCAGAAGATATCCAAAAGATTTTATTTTCTCTTTTCTTTAATAATTTTAAATTCAGATTCATTTTCCAAACTCAAATGTTTTTCTGTCTTTTGGTCTGTTGAAGGTTGTGTGTGTGTGTCAAATACATCATGATCACAGTATCATTTTAGACAGCAGGAGAATCGTCTTAGAAACAGATAAACTGTGTGTGTGTGTGTGTGTTTTATGTGTTTATGTGTGTGTGTAGCCTTATATTGGACAGGCACACACTAGTAAACACAGTAAACACATTGATACATCAGCATGTCTTTTATCCACAACATGTTCCTCAGAAATATCCCAGGCTGGATATCAGGACCTGGTTGAACTGATTTAGTTACCTTGTGACTTTAACAAAGTAATGAACCATTTGACTCACATCTTTTATGTATAGTCATGTTGTGATCTATTCAGCTTCGTAATCCTGAGTTGACCCTCACGGGAACATGAATAATCTGGGCCTGTGCCACTGACTCTGGTAATGTGGAAGGGGGCATTTTATGAAGAGAAATGGGTGTGCTCCGTTGATGCAGAGCCTTTGTGCCTTTTGTGTCTCCTTGTCTGCAGATCATGTGGTGTGTGAAGAAGAGTTTAAGTACGCCATGCTGGCTTTAAACTGTGTGTGCCCTGGTACCTCCACACTAATCACACTATTGATCCACTCCTCTCGAGGACAGTGAGTTTGTTTTCAGCAATCATCCTCTCATTTATTTCATTCTTTTTATCTGTCTATGTCATGACCTTCCATGACTCCTTTCATCCCCTCACTGCCACTAATATATATTTATTTATCTTTCCTTCTTAGAACAGCACCTCAAGAGGCCTTCAAACAGCGTTCAGGAGCCTTTCAAGCTCTCAACAGGTAGAATTATATGCTATTGATTGAATTCTTGAACTATTCCCTTCAGTGTTGCCACAAATTCCCCTTTTGTGGTGATAAATAGGTATTTTGTCAACAAAAAATAATAGGTATGATGATCACTGTTGCGGACTTTAACTATAATGTATGTTAAAAGGTACAAAACGTCAGACATAAGTAGAAATCAAGATGATTCATCCAGTGAGAAAACCTTTCACAGTATGCTCTTTTTTATAGAAGCTTTGCGTAGATTGTTTAAAATTATATGAAAGATTAAATGTAAGTGGGCTTGGTAATGTCTAGTGATTTATTTATCAATTTAACTCTTTAGCTTTATCATTTTTTCTTTAAAGTTAAGAATACAGTTTTAAAGCCTAGTGGAGGTATGGTCTCCATAAGTATCTTTCCATTTGTGTGAAGCTACTCTATTAAAGTTTGTACTGGCAACCTTTATGTATTTACCTACTTTAAAGATTTTTTTTCAGAACTCGTGTTATGTTTCATAAGAATGCCCAGTAATTTATGACCAGGATTGGCCCTCTTCCATCTATGCCTTATACTTTTTTTCTGTACCTGGAAATTTGCTGTAGCACCTGTTTATATGAGGCCGTTTTTCTTGCACTCCACCCACTTTAACACTAATGCCGCATCCCTGCTTCCCGTTATCACCTCTTTAACCCCTACGTCTACAGCCATATCCCCAGGGGAAAGCTGTTGTGCTCTTGGCTGTGAATGAGTAAAATCTGGTGTGTGCATGTTGAGTCATGCCAAGAGTCCTGGTTTTCATCTACGCCCTGATTATGGCATTGATGTAAGATGTTATCGATGAAACCTTGATGGAAAATCTTCCAGTAAGGACTCTGAAGCCCAGCTGGGCATTTTACATGCTGTAAAAGGTTACGATTTCCCCACCAAGCAAATCACTCTCTTTTTTTTTTCTAGGGAGGGCGGTGCATGTTCAGCAGACCAGTGGCACCGGACATACCGACGCTGCTCTGCCAACGAGGTGCATCACATCCGCTTGGAAGAGAGTAAATTCTTCGGAGAGTACCAGGGCAAGAGTTTCACATTCGCTTCCTTTCATGCACACAAAAAGTAAGCGTAAATGTCAGCAAACCTGGAATTAAAAGCAAACTGAGCTCAGAGCTGACCTCGTCTGTTTGACCGTAGGTATGGGGTCTGTTTAATTGGAGTGCGCAGACTGGACACCAGCAACATTTTGCTCAACCCTGGGCCATGTCACATCATGGGGGCCTCTGACACATGCTATTACATCAACATCTCCAAAGAGGAGAATTCGGCATTTGTCAGGGGCCATAGGGAACCATCATGGGGGGGCTCCGGAGCAAATGCCAGAGGGGTGCACCAAAGTATCTATCACGGACTTACCCGACTGCCAGTGCACAGTATCATCGCCAGCATGGGTTAGTCACATGTTCACAGCACAAATCTCTGTATAATTTACCAAACACGTGCAACAAATGCACGGCAGTAAAGCAACATGGATATTGGATTTTGTGATTTCAGGAAATCCTCACCTAGTGCACCAGGATAAAAAAAAGTTATTTGTGTCTGTATTTTAGGAACTGTAGCCATTGACCTGCAGGACTCCAGCGACAGCAGTCCAGAGGGGCAGGACCCAGGGAGCGCCGGTCTTGGAAGTGGCAGAGGAAGCCGAAGCAGCTCCAGGACAGAGATGGGGGGGGCCAACACCTTGGCTCTGCCTGTCATGGGGGACGCGGCTGAGGAACGACGGCACAGCATTGCGCCGGTCCTGGAGCTGGTGGACGGTGTCAACCCGACCTTTGACCTGCTGGGAGACCAGTCAGAGGACGAAGGGGGAGAGGAGGGAAAGGACGACTGCGACAAAGATGAGAGTGCCCACTGGTGGGGCCGGCACTGCGAGTAAGTGCCGTGTTTGAGTTGGTGCTCTCGGGCATGCTGGTCTAAGTTCAGAGATAAATGTGGACCTGTGCTACAGGTGGGTGAAGGGATACCCGCTAAACTCTCCATACATCGGCAGCTCACCTGCACTGTGTCATCTCCTGCAAGAAAAGATGCCTTTTTGCTGCCTGCGCATGGACAAGGTACACAACTTAGATGGCTTGCTATCATTTCGAGACACGATAACATATCCACTGTCTCTCTACTTGTGTCCCAGATTTGTCATCACATCCCCTTTGAGGACGCTCGTTCCTACGGCTTCAAAAACAAACTGATCATTGTGTCTGCGGAGAGTGCAGGAAATGGTCTTTACAACTTCATCGTGCCTCTTCGTGCTTATTACCGACCAAGGAAGGAGCTCAACCCCATCGTACTGCTGCTGGAGAGCATGTGAGAACCTGTCAGTTCTTCTAGCGGAGTGACTATTGGTGTAAATTCTTCCCCAGCCAGAAAGAGTTACATGCCAGTGTTGTTCCTAAATGTTGCTGCGAGCATGAAAGCAGCCACAAATGTAGGTTGCACGTGATAATAAGATTGGTTCTTCCTTAAGCAGCAAGTAGAGGAGAAAAACAGTCATTTAACAGTCACTGTAAAAGTGATTTGTGAAATGTTAAATGCTCTCAGGACAGTGCACTCCCCAGTGATGTCGTCTTTTGTGGCTGCTACACAACTGTAGTCAGCCAAATGAGAACATAAAAGGCTATAAAATGCTGAGTCACTCCAGCCTTGTTCTTTTATTTTCAGCTCTCTCAGTAGCCTTTTTAGCAACTTTGTATCTTTAAGGCTGAGAGAGAGCAGTCTGTCACCGTGGGAACATTGGCTCATCATCATGGCATGTATGCATCTCTACTAGTGGATCTCTTAATTCCGGCGTGTGCTTTGATTGGTTTAGACCTGAAGCAGATTTCTTGGAAGCAATCTGCTGGTTCCCCATGGTTTTCTACACAGTCGGATCGATCGACAAGTAAGACTAGTCAAATTTCTGAGCTCATGTCTGCCTGTTGTTCACTCGCATATGAAATAATGTGCTCTTGATGTAGCCTGTTAAAACATATTTTTGTTCATCTTGCTTCGCTCTCCACAGTCTGGACAGTTTGCTTCGATGTGGCGTGACTTTTGCTGACACGATGGTGGTGGTTGACAAAGAGAGCTCCATGATTGCAGAGGAGGACTACATGGCTGATGCCAAAACCATCGTCAATGTCCAGACCTTATTCAGGTCCGCTTTTGTGAAATGTCCGCAGTTGACCAGCTTTAGGTGTTTTGATTTTTATATTAGCATTGTTCTCTGTGTTTCTTTGTGTCAGATTGTTTCCAGCTCTCAGCATCATCACAGAGCTCACGCATCCTGCCAACATGCGTTTCATGCAGTTCAAAGTCAAAGACCACTACTCCCTGGCTCTATCCAAGCTGGAAAAGGTGAAGCCATTGTGACTCCGAAAGCTCTGTTCTCTATTTATATATTTTTCTTCCGCCCACACTTGGAAAAAACAACTGTTCTGTTTTATGAAGGCCTCCTTTTATTTCACACTCTCAGTGGATTTAGAAACCGATGAACAGACACAATCATTTACTGACCATACTCCTCCGAACTGCATTTTTTTTAATGTACATTTCTGTTAATCATGCTTTAAGTGACACTTGGTGATGAGCCACATCAGACATAAATAGAATTTATGACTGTTATTTATTTGCCAAGTCAGAAAGAATTTTTAATATCCAATACAATCATATACAGTTTGCTTAAAAACAGCAGTTGTGGATCCCTTTTTCTTTTATGAAACAAACTAACCCAGGTTGTTAAAATACTGCATCATCAAAAGGAAAAATATTCTTTGGGGTTCTCTGAACTTAAAATCAACTTGCTTTTCTCAATCAAAACATTGAAATATCTAATAGTAGAGGATAAGTATACCTCATGTTGTTCCTAGATTAGACAACACAACTGATTTTCAGAATCTTTCATATCAGACCTCTTTAGAAAACTATTAACACCATTTTTTTAAAAATGTACCTTAAAAAGAAACTGAGAACTCTTCTGATCTTCTCAGAAATCTAGTATAACATGCAGAAAAATGTGTGTCTTTGTGTTTGATCTTCAGAAAGAGCGAGAGAAGGGATCCAACCTGGTCTTTATGTTCCGCCTGCCCTTTGCTGCTGGGAAAGTGTTCAGTGTTAGCATGCTGGACACCCTTCTCTACCAGGTTTCTCAAAAATACTTACCAAATAACAGCAATTCCCATTCCTTTCTGTTTCAAAATGCCAAGAATGATCTATTCATACTGACTGGTTTGTTTTGATGCTCTGCCAGTCATTTGTGAAGGACTACATGATCTCCATCACCAGGCTGCTGCTCGGTTTAGACTCCATGCCTGGCTCGGGTTTCCTCTGTGCTGTAAGCAGCCAACACAAACAGCTTGATTTCAGTATTTCTGGACAGTGAGGTGCTTCAGGGGTGTTGTTTTGTTCGTTACCAGATGAAAATCACAGAGGATGACCTGTGGATCCGAACCTATGGAAGGCTTTATCAGAAATTGTGCTCCTCGAATGGGGACATCCCTATAGGCATCTACCGTACAGAGGCCCACAAGCTACCAGTGTCAGAGGTCAGTTACTTTTTCACTTTGGTGTCATATTGCTGAAAATACAATTCCACCCTTGCTGTACAGCTAACATCCTTCAAAAGGGTAGAGATCTACGTTGTTGTTATCTCTGCTTTGAAAACTTAACAAGATGGTAATAAATGCTATTTTCTGCCTGCAAGTCGACAAATGAAATTCCAATAAAATTAACAAAATTCGAAGCACTGTCTAAATGTTTGTTCAGTTTCTCCCGTGTTGAGAAACATGAATATAGAAATTTGAAGACAAACAGAGACAAAAATGTTATGAAGGGATGTAAGATCAAGGGAAAAAAGGATACATTGAAAAGATAGAATACAAAAAAAGGAGGAAAAAAAAGATGTAACCATGCTGATATACTTTATTGGTGTAAAATTATTAGATTAGTTACATTAAAGAGCCTCACAACTATCATAAGCAAAGATATCTGTCATTCATTATCTCTTTTGACATTCATATAAAATAAAGTACTTAAATCTTTAAAAAATTCTGCTCTACTTTGTTTTTAATAAAATCTCCATGATAACAGATTTAATACATTGCATAGGGAAAGAGCAGCGTCTGATTGTGTGTCATTGTGCTTTGCAGTCCCAGGTGTCCATCACAGTGGAGGACTATGAGGACACCAGAGAACCACGGGAGCCCCTCCTGTCCCGCACCGGCGCCCACCGTAACTCCACCTCCTCCGAGCCCATTTCCACCTCCTCCCACTCCTCAGACCACCCGCTGCTCAGGAGGAAGAGCATGCAGTGGGCACGCCGGCTGAGCAGGAAAGGGGGTCGGGGATCCAGTGGGGCCAAAGGTGGTCCGGGCAGTGCGGCGGAGAGAATCAGCCAGCAGAGACTGACCCTTTTTAGGCGCTCAGAGAGGCAGGAGCTCAACTCGCTGGTGCGAACCAGAATGAAACACCTGGGCCTTTCTCCAACCGGATTCAGTAAGCCCGCACCAAAATGTGCTGGAAATTTTTGTTTTTCTTTTGATTCTGGGTGTATGAGGCATTTTGCTGTATTATTCTACTCCACATGATCCATCTGATGTATTGTATTTCAGTTTGTGTCCATTCTTGTCCCAAGTCATCTTCCTGCTGTGTAAGCGGATGCGACACAGCCTCCTCTATATCCTGTGCTTTTTTTTTTTTTTTTTTATCCTGGCTTGCTAACCTCTTTCCTTCCTGTGTCAGATGGGATGACAGACCCGGGGAACAGGCTGTCGTATATCCTCATCAACCCCTCTCCAGACACCAGATTGGAGCTGCACGACGTTGTGTGAGTGTACAAATCATCTACATGTCAGCACTATAAACTGAGCACTACAATTCTAATAGAATTTGATCTGCAGGTACCTGATCAGACCAGACCCCCTCTCCCTGGTGCCCAATCAGGGGAACAGCAGGAAGTGCAGCAGTGGATTATCGGAGAGCCACAGGTTTGACACTCAGGACAGCACCCATCTGTGAAAAACAAACAAACCAACCAAAACGACTCAAGTGCTCAGACAAAACTGCCAGAGCCACAGAAAACATCACAAAGAAGAAGCTGAATTCACAACGAGTGGCACTGAAAAGGAGACAGATGTCACACAGCTGTGTACTCAATCTTATCGAACTCGTGTAGCAAGAGACACACATAGACCTTTTCTATTAAAATGGGAATGTTTTATTTATGCACCTTCCTATTTTCAAAGCAGAGAGCTGCAGACACAGAAGTGCATTTAATGAAAAACTGTGTGTATTTATATCTGTGTATGTGCATGTTGTGCACTGTATCTGTATTGCGTATTTATGTACAGTCGCATGCAAAATGTTTCTGTTGTTGTCAAACTTTCTGTGACTTTTCGGTGAAGATTCATTGAAGATTAGTTGATCTCCTAGAACTAAAGATGAAACTTTTTTTTTCAACATTTTAAGCAGGGTTAGTGCATCATCTCCCTTATGCCACTTCAGAGTAAAAGAGATAAGAATGCAAGAAGATAAGTTATAATGACTTTAACAAGCTAACTTGCAGCCTGTGTGCAATCATTTTAGCAAAGGGAGGGTTATGGAGAAGACAACTTTCATACTCCTGAATTATCTGCCTCACTATATGCAGCCACGGAGTTCTCTCAGTTTAACTCTAAAAATCTAAATAAATTATTCCCGCAAAGCTGTAAAAAAAGAGAGCAAAGAATTTTCAGGCAGTTGCTTCATTGGTTCAAGTTAACATGAAAAAGAGAGCAGATAGTCAATGTCTGGATGACTTTAATAAAAAATGTGTACTTTTCTACTGTGCAAGCACAAATATCTTCTCCATGAGGAATATTTTGAGGGAAAACTTTTCTGCATCTCCACAAAATAGTTATTTTTCAGAGGCTTGAAAATCTTAATAAACTTGGTGTGTTTTTTTTAAAAACACTTTCTTTGGCTTGAAGAAGAGGAAAAAAAAATGAAATATAGTTAAAGGAAAATCAACCGTGAACTTTACAGCTTTGCAGCTCCCCAAATGAAGTCATAATACCATTGCTTGCAACTTAAAATTGGTCATGTCTAACTTTATAGTTTATGTTGGAAATCCTCCCTTTCCTAACACAACACTTTACAGTTACAACAATTTATACCTGAGGTGCCCAAAATTTTGCATGCCACTGTATGTATTGTGTTTGTGTCAACTGTACGAATGAATATGTATGAGTGCTTATGGATCCAGAGCAAGACACTGCCAATTTTATCTTGAAAGCCAAATTAACCTACTGCCAAATGAGAGGCAAGGAATGTTTTGTGTCCTTATCTGTGTCGTAGATGGGTTTTGTTCCGTGTTTTTTGCCGTGTTGAAAGTGTCCCTGAAGTCTGCCGACCTGTGAGTATTTTTGGTCTGCTTAGGCCTTTTTAAGCCTTTTTGTTGCCGTTTGCCACAATCCCGACACAAGTATTTTATGCTCACCAGCAAAAGAATAATCCACACAGCACCAGACTCAGTAATGGACAAAATCTGGGCAGCAAGCGTAACGTTTTCACTGCAGGGCGCGCAGTCACATTGCTGTTTGAAGTTTTTGGCATTTTCTGTGGCTGTGTGGGTCCTCTTTGAACAAACCTGACTTCACTGTTTGCCTGATTTTCTTCTCCCCGTCTTTCTCTCCCTGCTTCTCTCTGTCAGCGTGAGTCGTCCGACCGCCTATTTGCTTTTGTTCACATGCATGTTGGAGTTGCAGGGAATGTACAAAATAAGATAAATGTAATATAATACCATACAAGTACAACAGCTCTGCAGTATATACGCTTTGTGTAAAACTTATAATGTAACATTGTTTAGTTTCATTTGGATTTAGATGCTGAATTATGAGCTTTGCAGGAAAACATTTGCTGTTTTTACTGCATTCATAACCATAATCATCTTTAACAGGTTATTTATTTGCCAAGTCAAAAAGCATTTTTTCATAGCTTTTTCATCGACCATTAGCTCACATAAATGTACAGTTTAATCTGCTGACACAAAGTAGGTATATAGATAAATATGGACATTTAGGCTGTCTGATTTTCAAGGATTTGCAAGACTCTGCTTATCTTCAGCGACAAATTCTGAATGTGTCGTTTCCAAAATGGAGCGTCATGTGGTGGGTATGCAAAGCAACATGTTTGCCAACAGCACCAGTGTCATTTCAACTGCCATTATAACTGAAAAAGAATGTGTACATATTAAAGTTACTACGTAGAGTTTCTTTTTTGCCTCTGCCAGTTTGTGAGATGAAAGAAAAACAGTTGAAGTCAACAGTTTCAAACTTTTCACATCCAAATCAATCCTGTTTTTTTTGTGTGTGTTACGATCTGAGGGGCACATTTCTCAGGTATTTCTGATTTGTGTGCACGATTCTCACCACACCAAGCAAGCTGGCACATGAGCCAATCAGTCTTTCATGACTTTTTATGTCCAGCGAGGTCAGCTTGCCACAGGTGGTTCGTTCTTCTAACAAGGGCGCCGTTCGCTGTATGCTGCACTTTCGTTCCCGTTCCCATCCTATTTTCATTTACAGCTATGAGAGTCGGCCCCAATTAATTTCCCCTTGAATAGACAGAAAAGCCTCATCCTACATCATGTTTATGCCCCTTTGACAGCGGAGGCTATAGCTGTCTGAGGAGCTGCCTGACAGCCGTGTTGTTGGGCTTTGAAGAATAAACTCTTTTCACATTACACCTATGAATCATGCCTGGCTGAGCCCGTGATGTCACAACACGAGCCATTGTCTGAGCCGAGGGACCGAAACCTCAGACTATGCAAACGGCTAAGGAGAACTGTAGATGGGCCCCGGAATGAGACATACTCATAAACTCTGTCACCTATGTGGCTAAGAACTCTTTGTTCTCCTGTTATAGTGGATCAAACCCTCCATCCTGCTCCTGTGTCTTGGAACACGCAAGCCTCGCTTCAACGAGTTGCTCAGTGAGATTTAAATGATATATCTGCAGCTATCCGCCTGTCTGGCTCCTCTTTTTGTCAGACAATGCCAACATCTGTAACATTAATCAGTGCACCCAACAGGTGGGCTTTTAAATGAGAACAGAGGGTTCCAGCTGACCGATAACCAATGCAGGGTCCTGGACACTGGCTCTCAGCAGGACAGCGGCCCTGACAACATGCAGACTACAAAATCCCCTTCCCTCTGCACATTAATCCAAAGGTAGTCCCTTCATATGTCATGCTACACAAATTAGGAAAGTGAGAACTTTGCTGTTCCTCCCAGTCTTATTTTCCACCTTCTAGTGAGTGACAACCTGAGAGCACCATGACCTGTTACGCAAAGGCTGCATCGCTTCACATTTAACCCTCAATTGCTTTCTCACTGCTCTTTTTCCATCCATCATCCTCCTGGAACAGGTTTTTTACAACGAAGAGACCCTGTTTTTCTCTGCAACAGCCCAGCTAGCTGCACACTGATGTGTGTGGAAAGGAGGTTCCCCTCCACAGTTCATCCAAAATCAAGCTGTGAAAAGATGTTGTGGAAAAGAAGTCAACAATCAAGGATAGTTTATTCGTACAGAAGCATGATGTCAACATTTGTATGAGATGTATTCTTTGTATTATTTATCACATGCGAGACAATGGAGGAATGTTTGGGAATTACTGTGTAGTTTCTGAAATAGGAAATAAACAGAGTTGGTGTTCTGATGAGACAAGAAAAAAAATTCAATATGATTTAGTTGTGCAATTTCAATTTGAGAGTAAATTCAATCCATATATATGTGCGTGTGTGTGTGTGTGTCTGGGCAGGTGTGTGTGTGGGTGTGTGTTGTTGATTTACAGCCACCAGGGGGAGACTGGTGCTCAGGAGGAGGTGGCTCTTGGTCTCAGACAGACAGAGAGGAGCTTTTTCTGCCCTGCTGCAGCACAACCACCTCTTGTTGCTTTTAAGAGCCACTCATTCTCATTATTTCACAGAATGTTGTCAGTCACTTAATGATCCAGTTGATCATTCATGATTATTTTGTTTGAGCCATGCTAGTTTTACACTCACACCTGGATCTATGTTTATTTGGTCTGGAAAGTAATCATTCCCTCTGTGAGGTCATTTGGAATCACCAGGTGGTACTGTTCCACACCGCTACCTTGGCAGGGCAGATTCTGAGGGGTTCAGGGTTGTTCCCGTTAATGTTGGCGCCGGGGCAGAAGAAGGGGTACATCTTCTCGGTGAAGAAGTCGTTGAAGGTGTAGATAGGCGTCATGTTCACGGGGTTGGAGAAGGACACTTCCCCACACTCAAAGTCCAGCTGCACCCTGACTCGAGTCAGCCGGCCCTGCAGAGGCAGCGCGGTGCTGGGTCTGGTCATGGCCGAGTACTCTCCCTCACAGTGAGAGATCATCCAGAAGCCCCCCTCGGGACAGCCCGAGATGCGGCCCTTTCTGTCGATGGAGCCTTTGACCACGCCAAGCATCCAGTCGTCCTTGTTGCCGACCTCCACCTCCCAGGCGTGGCGGCCGGAGGTGAAGCCCTCAGAGCCGAGCACAAACACGAAATGGCCAAAACGCTCCGGGTTGTCTGGCAGCTTGTGCAGGGATCCGCCGTTGGCCACACTCGTCAGGTCTGGGGAAAGGGACAGCCAGGAGTAGGCCGTGTTGGGGTCCAGGGTGATGGGTGCTGGAGGGAGAATTCATAGGCACATTGCTTTCTGTCAGTTGATTTTTTTTTAAAGGAATGAAAGTGAAAAATGAATAAATAAAGAGCTGTCAATAATTCTGTTATATCTTTCCTCCTAATGCTCACTACATGTTTCAGATAGACATTTCAGAGTGGAGAGAGGGCTTACTGTACTGGACCAGATCCACCATCTTTTCCCACACGTGGTACTTCAGGGAGCTCACATGCTTGGCGACATTTATAAGAGCACCTGACACTTTTCCGGGATCCTTCTGTGGGATCTGTGCTCTGCGTAGAGGATGAGTGACAGACAGGAGACAGTCGACACCGAATAAGTAACACAAAGCTAATGTGACACAGCAGAAGATGAGGGGGGGAAAACACCCACCTTTTCTTGGTGTTGGTATAATTCTGAAAGGAAAATGACAGAGAATTACAGTGAGTCACATCAAATGGGCCCACAAACAGAACTAGTCTTTCAGGAAAAAGAACACTCACCTGAAGGAACAAAACATTCCTGGATGCAATCTCATTCTCCACAGCGATGACGGCATGAGAGAATGTGAGGATGTCCCTGATGATGCTCTCAGACTTTTTTCTCACAAGCTCGTTCTTCTCCTCATCCTCCTTTTGCAAGTCAGCCAGACGCATTTCTTCCTCCTTGAGGAGAAACTCCCGAAGCTGCTCAAACTCCTCTCTGATCTGCTTCTCTGCGGCCTGCGTTTGGTTCTATCACACATGGAAAAACAGATCTGTAATAAAATAAGCTTGTTGTTTATCCTTGTATCCATATTGGGTGTACTTTTAAAAGTCTTTAATAAATAATTTTGTCTTGAATTTCCCTCAAGGGGATAAACTAACTTCTCTCTATTCTGTTCTATCTACATGTTTGTGTATGTGGGTGTTTTGGGAACTGACATCCACATGAAGAATGAGAGGTGTTAACGATTAGAGTTTGATTGACTGATTGAATGAATAAATCTTGTTCGGTGCAATTTTCAAATTAAAGTTTTACCGAGGCCATGAAAAGTGTGGATCAGAAGCCAAAAAGTATGCAGGGGGAGTGTGCTGAGCCAAAAAGGCATGACTGTGGCTTCCAGGAAATTCAGTTGAACTGTCAGGGACATTAGCAGGGAGGGGTTTCTGGCTTGTGTTGGAATAAAGGAAACTGGGTCAATACAGGGGGATTTTCCTTTATAAAGAAGGGGGATGAGAAAAACCGCCCGTGTTAGGCTCAGAGGTAGATTCAGGACGCCAACTCACGATATCCCTGTTAGTTCATTATTACCTGTGTCTGGTGTCCCTAAAGGCCTTAGCTGCTGGGATTTCAATTTAATTTTTCGATCTCTGCCAAAGCGCTTATGTGCTATCAATTATACTTCTTGCATGTTAGATATTTCTTAAAACGTTGACCTATATAGTCTTGAAAAAAATGTTCACCTATTCTAATAAGTTTGAATTACCCCTAGGTTTAAAGTTCACAGCTGCTCTAAGATATTGGCTGAGAGATGTTTACACACCAGCGGGTATGGCTCAGGCCTCGATCAGGAAGCCAGTCATGTCGGTCCCGTTTCAGGGATCTGTGTTTATTGATACCTTGATGTGCACAGTTGTGTCATCACACTCCTGCTTGGCTTCGTAAAGGTGACGCAGGGTTTTCTTTAGAGGAATCACTTCTTTCTTGAGCTCCGCCTGAGGGGAAAAAGCAGGTACACGGTTAACGTGTGTCCACAATGTTTTTCACGTTCAGGATCATAGAAAAATGTTCCTGAATTCTTTATTTGTCCACAACTACTGGATTTCAATTCATCTCGAGTAAGCATGCCGCTGAGTTTTAAAACTGTAAAATGATGGATGAATTGTGTCTTTAAATCCCCACCACTGATTTTGAAGAGCTCTTTACCTTCAGATCCTGGGCTCCTTCCTCCACTGGACACACTCGGTGTCCCTGGTGCTTCTTGGAGGTGTGACACACACAGCAAATAACTTCAAAGTCATCCATACAGAACAGTTTGAGAGCTTCACCATGTGTGGCGCATTTCTCCTCCTCCACCTCCGCCTCCTCCCCGGTGCCCCCGGCCCCCGTCCCTGCCGCGGCCCGCCGCCGCTCGTGGTCCTGCTCCCTCAGGAAGGTGTCGGCCACGTTCTTCAGGGCCAGGCTGACGGTGGGCTCCGTCAGGGAGCACTTCCTCCTGCAGATGGGACACTCGCGCCTGGCCTTTTTCTTGTTCCAGAACTGCTGCAGGCAGGCCCGGCAGAAGCTGTGGCTGCACTTGAGCACCACGGGCTCCCGGAAGATCTCGCAGCAAACGGAGCAGGTGAGCTCCTCCTCCAGCACGGAGCCGGAGCGCGAGGACACCGCCCGCGGCCGCAGGGAGGACGCCGCCTTGGGAATCTGGAGGAGGGAAAGTTTTCCCGGCTGGGAGGAAGCTCGGGGGCGCAGCGCCATGGTGGGTCCCCGTAGCGACAGATGGGGCCGTCTGTTAGGAAGTGCTCAGCCGGGGAGTCCAGAGGGTAATCTGAAGGAGCTTCATGAGCAGCCAGGGTTATAGATCAACAGGCACCGGAAAAACTGGTTTGCTGCCTTTCTAGTAAATACAGGGCATGTCGTCACCCCTCATCTGGTGGCCACATCAGGGGGGGTTTGTGAAACAAGATCACATGGATCCTCCTCACACAAAAGAAGGAACGTCTCACCGCACGCATTGGGGTTGTTTCTGATCAGCCGTTTGCCACCTTTTCTGGCTGAGGCCTGTAAGTGACCCCCGACAGCTTGACCAGCAGTATCAGGTTAACTTGATTAGCTCTTGTTACACTCCCCGTGATGGCCGGCTGACACCAGGTTATTTCACCGAGGACTTAAATGTCATTTATATTTCAGGAGGACACAGGAGTGAGAAGAAACACCAACTACCCCCCCAGGATTGTTTCTGTGACTGTCAGAAAACTTTCCAGCATCTCACAGGATTTCCTGCTAGTTTTTTTCTTTTAATGAGTAAAGAATTGAGTAAGTTTCTGTATAATTCCAAACCAACACACCTACAAGGCAACCATGAGACAAAGCACAAAGAAAACGTCACTGTTGATGTTATTACTGAATTATATTTGGACACTGACATCAGTAATATAAAGCCGTCAAAATAATGTTTTCTTCTTAGTGTTACAGTGTTTGAGCATCAGTTTCATGACATCACCCATTCATATCTCCATCGACTCTCAGGAATTAAATCAAACTACAAAATAGCTTCATACATTTGGTTACACGGAGGAGGTTAACACCAAAAGTTTAAAAGAAAAAAACATTTGCTCAAAGTTCTCAACAGCACGCACCAGAATGAAGACTCCCATCAAAATATACACAAAGTCCCAACTGAAGAGAAATGAAGGCGATTAGTTCTTAAGAGTTTCTTCTCTTTTTATGTACACAACTTCTATGACCCGTTACTTTTTTCTTTTTAATACTGCTCTCTGTTATCAAGTTGCAACACAGGATGGAATTTTTTCATGTCACAAAAACCTTGTGTTAAAATAGACTTCACATGACCTCATATATATAAAAAATAAAAATAAAAAAAAGGACTAGCTATAAAACAAAAACAAAAAATAAAATAATAATAATACATTGACGGCCCATAAACCTGGAAACCGGTCTGCCTTTTCTTCTCATACACTGACCTTCAGTAACGGTACACTAACACTGATTTTCTTAGAACACCGCAGAAAGTATGCTAGACAGGAATGATGCGGTCACAGTTAACTTCATAACAGCTTGGGGTGTTTGAACAGTAAACAAGCACACGCCTTCGTAGTGAGGAGCTACAGTTTACTACCATCAATCTGTAACCACGCCATCTATTTTGACCTGAAGAAAAAGACAAACATTAAACCAGCAGATTTCAATATGGTGACATTTTTAAAAAAGAAAAAAAAAAAAAAAAAAAAGGAAGGGAAAAAAAAGTACATGCTTCTTAAATTGATCTTCGATGGTAACGTCAAGTGGTTCAGGATGACACTGGATGTCTTCTACTGTGCAAAGAACTCACCAGGAGGGGTGCAGTGCAATCTACGTTCTCTGCTATTCGACACAGTGCAACGTCTGAGAAAACACCTCATATCAAAGACCTAGTTGTGTTTCATGTGCGTTTCCACTTCAGAAAACATGTGGTCAACTTGTTCCACTGCCAGCAACTACAACAATGACATGCAGGCTCACATGATGCAGTCCACAGCGTGCTTATAGTTTCTGGAAAAGCTGGAAGACAAATCAAAGCACTTGAAAAGTCACCTTCCTCCCTGTGTGGCTGGATGACCCACTTTGTCTCCCAAAAGGGCAGAAAAGCACAAAAATAGAGGGGGGGTGAGCGCTGGAATAAAAACAAACGTGTGACGGTAGAGTAATGTTTTTTTTCTAGGACTGTCGGGTGTGGCAGCTGCAGCGCACTTGCAGGTTGTTGTGCGCCGTTAGTTTCCGTGGTTACACCCGCCCAACTTTAGCGTCTCCGATGGCGCCCCAGACGTCGAACACAAATTCGTCTGGGAAGGCAAAATCTCCCAGGGTTTCGTCCAACGCTTCGGCAAACTCGTCTGGGTTCTTCTTGTCCTTTCCCAGCTCCACCATGGTGGCCGCTGTGGAAACCATGACAAGTCGTTAATAAGAAACCAACTATTACACGATACAACAAAAAGAAAGAACAGACTTACCCAGCTCGCTGTCTCTGATGCCCATATAGCTCTCTAGTAGGTCGTCCACCTTCTCAATGGCCTTTTCCTCAAATGCAGACGGCTGGAGAACAAATAAATAAATAATTTAAACCCTCTGAGAAATATACCTGTGATCTCTCCATGGTGTCTGAAGTGATGCTCACCAGCTCCTCCACTGTTGCGGGCCCTTTGGAGCGCAGGCGTAGGGTTCCTCTGCCGGTGCCCAGCTGAACCCCTGATGCCGACCTGGAGCCTCCAGACCTTTGGCTGATCATGTCTAAACAAAACACCGAAATGTATGCTCTGTAAATTCTCCACTCCTGGCAAATGTCTTGTGATTAAAGTTTTCAGGTGGAACATTGGGCTCTGTGACGCAATCATGCTTTTGACCCTTTTTTTTTGGTATTATTATCAAAGCCTCAGCTTGAGATTCAGCTTGTCTGTTTCATGATGCTTTTCAGGCAGAATAAAAAGGCAGAAACTTAAAAGAAACTTGATAGAAAATGTGTTTTTTCTATCAAGTGAGTAGCGACACTCATCAGCCTTTGGGGGACAGTGTGATTGTGGAGTTGCACAATTAAAAAAATATCCAAAGCCTCCCTCTTTTCATACCTACCGAAGGCTTTGAGAGGCTCCACAAGCTTAATGGTGAACTCCTTTCCTTTGGGGAGCTCCTTCAGCATTTTGGCAACTTCATAGTGTCTACAGCCGATAAGGCGATGACCGTTGATGGACTCGATCATGTCTCCCACGTTAATGACCTGGATTTGATGAATGATGCTGCCCTCTCTGATTCTCTGAAGCACAGACAGCCATGTCATTAATCCCAAACATCAGGAGGTTCAGTTCCTTCCCATGGCAAATTTACATTCAGTCATTACAAATGACAGCAGGGAAAGATTTTAAGTACATTCCTCACCTTGATGAAAGCATAACCAGCTCCATTATCAGTGATTGTCAACCCTAGAGCATCTTCACCTTTAAACACGTCTATTTCTTTTCGCTGGCCTTTAATGTGAGCAAATATAAAGTCTTCCAGACCTATCTGACCTCCCAAAAGTTTATCCATATCCACCTTGTGAGTGTTCAGTGTGCAAAACATAACCTGCAGACAGAAGGGTAGAATTGATCAATATCACACTAAACCAACTGGCCTTCGCCGTCACACTGCCAGCACCGATTTACCTCAGACGGTGGAATCCCAAAGGCTTCTCCAATCTTAGCATAAAGCTCACGCACATTACTAAAGCCCTCAATCCGACCTGTGGGGCTGCCATGAGCGAGCTGGGTGTGGAAGATCAGTCGAGGTCGCATGCTGTTTGGTGGAGGAGGGAGCCCTTCAGAGGCAGCCCCCTCTCCCAGTCCAACCACCCCTCCATCCATCCCCTCCACGTTGAGGCCGGCGCGAATGGGCTCGGCTTCCTCATTCTCAACCAACGGGGACGCCTTCTTCCTTCTTCCCAATCCCAGAGGCATCATAGAGGAGTAGAGGCTGGGCTGGGGAGTTACGCTGCAATCCCAGATAACACACACCTGCTCAGCTAATTCAGCAGCAGGTCTGGGGAGCAGTTAGGTCACAGCGATGTTGTTGTCCCTCAGACCAGCTTAAAAGCCGTCTCAACCAGGCACTGGATGGATTTAAAAGTCCACACATCAGAGCTGCTCACATAGCTGGATCTGCCAAGTCCAGCAGTCTAAACAGGAAGGTCCTAACCTGGGAAGCAGACACACAAACTGTCATTTTTGTGCACAACATTGGGATCACAGCAAACTGAACATGCTAAGTCATGAGCAAAAAACATGACAAAATACATCTTTCACCATGGAATTTTGGTCATCAACACGGTCAGCTGCTTGGGCAATCAATGTATCAGACAGAGCTATCATTAGCTGCTAGCTGTTTGTCACTCCCAAGTGTCACAAACAATGGCAACTCTATTCCAGCATATGGGCTAGCGCATGAAAACACGCGCTAAACCAGTCGCCGCTGACCCCTGTCAGAACTTGTTCGCTATTTCCCAGGTTCTGGCGTTAATTAGCAAGATACTTCAACAAGAGATGAGACCAGGAAACATGGCAGTCGTTCTCACCGGAGCAGTAGTTCCAGCCAACTACGGTCAGCCTTTCCTGTTAGCTTAGCCCGCAGACGCTGCCTATGTTAGCTTTCAGAAAACAGCAACACGAGAGCATAAGAAGTTAAGTATCTTTGCTCCTCCGATTTCGACTGACAGGCTGAGTCGACCCGATCACTTTAGCTGGTAATTACAGCGTGTGTGTGTGTGTGTTGGTGTGTGTATCAGTATGCTGTTTTAGAATTAGCTTTGTGCCAGCCCAGTAGGGGTGGAACTATGCCGCCTTCAGGTATCCTTGAAAACACCAGACTTCTTCTCAAGCGAATGCCTTGATTGCTTACAATCGATTGTTCCAAAACCACAGCTTCGTTTGACAATTAAAACATTAATGTGTCATCTTACAACACGTAATCATTTGTATTTTGAGTGAGCTGGTTTAGAGTTTGCATTTTAGAAAACGAGCGCCTTTTCAATGTCCTGTGCATCACGGCAGAAACAACAAACAAACATTGTTGAACATATTGGCTTTATATTGAAAGTTTCAAACGGAAATACTCTATTTTGACCAACCATTAATGCTCTTTGATTGGTGGATATGTTCCTTGATGTGTGTGTGTGTCTATATATATATATATATATATATATATATATATAAAGATATATATAGTTCATTTTTTTATCCACAGTATTAATTACCTAACCTATATACAGACCTCGATGTACTTGGTAGCCAAGTAACGACATTTTGTTGTCAAATAGGCTTTGTACAATGACAATATTCATATATGTACACACTTTTTTTTTGCTGGTGATACTAAAATCCTCCAGCACACACCCCAAACCATGGTCACGTACCCATTTTCTCTAAATTACTGCACTCTAGTGGTCATCATAAGTAATGCCAATGGCCAGCAGTGTCTATTTGTCAAACCAGAAAAAATTATAGCAGTACTTCCGGTTAAAGACTTGTGCTGCACCCCAATCATGAACCTCACTGCCCTCCAGTGGTCACTACGAGCTACTGCAAGGTCTGGCACGGTGGAAAAACTAAATCTAACAGTAATAGATGCATATCTGAACAAACTCTTTTTATCGGCAAAGGTTTTGTTTTTTTATTACCAATGATTTTATTTAAGATGCATTAGTTTATTTCTTTAAATTTCCTTCTGGATTAAAGAAGCATCTATCTATCCATATATTGTATGTGTTGTCAGCAATAAATGCTCAAAATGTTTCAATGCTCTATATTACTGAAAAAGTTTTAGGTGAGGCTCATTTACAGAGAATTTTAAACAGCTAAAACATTCTTTAATTAAACACAAAAGACTTCAGAGCTTTGCCTATTTTTTAATGTGGAGATGGTGATCATCACAGCATAGGAAAGGACTAAAAAAAACATCTGATCCTGTCAAAGCTTTGGTTGTTAAAAATTAAAGCATTCTGAATGGCAGCTAGAGATTTTAAAACATAAACATGAGGTATAACAAAATAACTGTTTCCTCTTCAAAAGCGTACTTTTTTTTGCAAAAAGAAAACAAATTATATCATATTACACATCTGTACATCGATGTTAAACAACATGTTTGTGTCCGGTGGTCAGAACTGCATTAAAATCCCTCACTGGCTTAGTAACAACCATCATTAGCACAGTGGAACGCAGAGTGGAAAGGTTTGTCCTGATTCCTAAAGAGCCGTGACTCCGTTTCTAGACGCTTCAGCTGTCAGAAGTTATGATAACAGAATAGATGACAGAATAATCCAACAAAAAGGTAATACTAGCGGCCTTTAAATCACTGGATAAACTCTGTCGGTTTTTACCCTAAAAGCATTAGAGCTCACTCCTGTGAAAACACATGTACTGAATTTTCATTTCATTTGGAAAATCAGAGTAACACGAGCAGGATCTGAATTATGAAAGACATATATTTGCATAAATGATCGTTTTTAGCTGGGGACTCATTTTTTGACTGCTGTAGTCATCAATCACACCTTTCAGGAAACAGACTAATGACACCCTCAGACGCACACTTTGATTACATGGGGACATATTTGGCACAGAACGTCTATACTGAAAATGGTAAACATTTTAACGTGCCATCTCCACGTTTCACAAATCAAACTTCCATAGTTAAGGAGCACCGAGCATGAGGAAGAACTGGTCTTTTTTTAAAAACCTGATAGATAGCCGTGTGATGGACCGGGTGCCAGCTGGTCGTCCGGTGTGAGGCGAGCGGGCGGGGGGGCGGGGGGGGAGTGCGGGGATGAGCTGTGGGCGGTGTGGGACTCACTGCGGCGTCGCCACAGCGTTAGCGCTGACGGGAACCATCGCAGACGTACAAAGCACAGTTTACCTGGCAGTTTACGACGTTGTGGCATTAAAGGTGAGTGTTAATTACGCTTGGACACTTGAAAAGAAAAGTCTGTTTAATGCTGTTACTGACAGTGTGGCGTACACACCTGGAACATGGAATATTCCCTTACTGCTGCATTCAGACGTAGGTGGTTGCACCTGAGGGGCTGTTAAGCAGCGAGCTGGAGGTTCCTCTCTAATCACCATCTTCTGCTCTGGTGCCACATCCTCTGATTGATTAAAAAAAAAAAAAAAACTAACTGGTGGTCCGCTTTGACGACCTTTTAAAAACAACATTTCTTTCCGTGGTTCAACTTTTCCTTCACACACAAATCAGATTCGGTGCTCGGGGAGTCCCAGTAGACCCAGCTGGAGAATGAACCGGCCCCACACAGCAGAGCCTGGCGGTCAGAGGGAAGAGCCGGGTCACATGGGAAGGATCTGCTCCAGCGCGTCGCGTGTGCTTTGGCCCAGTTTGTCAGGAAATTTAACGCTGAAGTCCAAGATCATGTCGCCCCTCTTCTCGGGGAACTTCGACAGAGGAAGCCCCTCCCCTGAGATCCGCTTCTTCATCCCGGGTTTGACAATATCTCTGGAGGTCACAGAGATGGTCCGGCCATCCAGAGTGGGAGCGCTGACGGTGAACCCACACAGCGCCTGGACACGCACACACAAACACAACAGGCCGGCTGTTTAAACACGCAACATTCAGCAGAACAGCATTGTTTTGTGGTCGTTTCTTTTTGGTTCATGCATTTCTGCGTACTTACCTCTTTAAGAGATATTTTGGCCGGGTAAACTATATCGGAGCCCTCTCTTCTGAACACAGGGTGGGGTTTGTCTTTCACCACAAACACCACATCTGCCGGAATGTTGGTGGGGGTTTCATCGCCCTCCTTGGGAAACGTGATTTTTGTGCCCTCCTTCCAGCCGCGCTTGATGTCCACTGTTAAAATTTTGTCTTCGTTGCGTAGGGTGCAGCCGTCGGGGTTCAGTCTCTTGCGAGAAATCCTCATCTTTTTGGTGCAGCCGGCGAAAACCTCCTCCAGGCTCAGGTTCAGCTCATGCACCACCGGAGGGTCCTTCTTTTTCTCGTGTCTTCTGTGAAAGCTTCCCGGGTGAGCTTTGAAGGGCCGGTGAAACCCACCCATTCCTCCCATGCCGAAGGCCCCGAAGGGGTCGTTGACATCCATATCATCCCCCCCGTTCTGTGAGAAGAAGTGATCGAAGGGGCTGCGGCCCCCAAAAAACTCCGCAAAAATGGCATGGGGGTCTCCATTGAAGGTGTAGTTGAAACTGGGACCGGTGTGTCCTCCACCATCAGTCGGTCCCTTCAATCCTGTAGAAGAAAACAGGGATGGATACGAAAAGTCTGAAAACCTGATCAATATATGAGCCGGACCTCCACTGCTGGCACTTAATAAATATCAATCTTCATAATCATTGTTTGGGCATTTATTAGGGGTGGGGGAAATAGTCTAAACACTTATTGCAAACAGTAAAAAATTAAATAACCTAATAATTAAAGTGTGCTTAACCCTGACACTGACCCTAAGGCACCACTGAGGTCAGGTTACACAGGTTGCCTTTCTAAGGGCGCTTTCCCGCCACATCCTGACATACAAATGCGGTCAGGAACATCAAGCCCTTTCGGCCCAAATCTGTCCTTGTTGAACCGGGCAAAGCCACGGTGACCACCACAGAGGGTGACCACCACAGAGGGTGGCCGGCAGACAGAGGACGGAGCCGCTCGCTGTACCTTCCAGCAGCTTCCCCCAGACCCCCCCCCCCCCCAAACCTGAGGAGTAACATCCGCAGAGGGGAGGCCGGCGACTGTAAACACACAGCCCCGTCTACGTCCAGTACGGACTCACACCTGACACCCTCCGGGTGACACACTGTTCTGGTTCGATGATGGTTACACAACGTGGAGGCGCGGAGCACAACACGGCTTTTGCTCGGTCGATGATGCGTTCAAGTACCTTCCTCTCCGTAGCGATCGTAGATGTCCCTTTTCTTGGCATCGCTGAGGACATCGTATGCTTCGGCGACCTCTTTGAATTTGTCCTCCGCTCCGGGAGACTTGTTCTTGTCCGGATGAAAGCGCAAAGCCTGTTTTCTGTATGCCTTTTTTATTTCGTCTTCGGACGCACCTTTGGCTATTCCTAGCACATTATAATAATCCTTACCCATTACCGTACCAAGTCAGCTCGTCTTCCTCTTCATGAAAACATTGTCAAAGCTGACAAAGCATCCAGTAAGTCGTTTGTGTGTCGGTGTGTGTGTGTGAGAGAGAGAGAGAGATAGCCGCCGCAGCTCCTGTCACTTTTGCAGCCAGAAACTGTCAAATTTGTTTTGACAGTCCACGGACAAGCGTCTGCTCGGAACAGATTAGGCAAATATGGCATTTAGCGTCAAACAAACTACCAAAAAACTACGTGTCCGCAATGATGCCTGTGAGAGTTACCGCCGCGCCGGTGAAAAGCCGGTCAAGGAAACTTCTGGAAGAAGCTGGTGAGGCTACACAAATATAGGGCATCATTACAGAGCCCAGAGGATTCACTCCCAGTAACTTCCGGTTTTGTTTGAACCGCTGCAAATACCCGGAAGTGACTCGTGATATATAAGAAGCTAAGTTACCTCACGTTTGTTTTGGTTTTAAGTAATCTCTCAGATATAATAGGCATTTTTCTTTTTAATAAATGATAAGTAATGCGGTGTTTTAATATATAAACATTTAAGGGGAGGGGCTTACCTTTTACACACTTCAGTCGAGTACAAAACCCCTGCAAGGTTGTGATGTTATTCAAGCTGGAACAGGACGTCCCACTGTGTACGAGCGCTGGTGTCTTAGGTTAAGTCGACCAAAAATGACAATAACATTTAGACAACGTTTGCACATGAGATGTCCCACACACACGCTAATCAGTGCATCGGTATTTAAAAACAGTTTATATGGCTGAAAAAATAGATCAGTTTTTGACAAAAAAACACACAAACTGACTTATCACAGCAAATTAAAGAGATGCTCAACCACACTACTGTCTATCTTTTTAAAAAATAATTAAAATGAATTAAAATGGTGATGTTGCTGTGTCTCGTGGTTGCTTTCCCTTAGAGAAAATAATAATAATATCCTTGACAAAAGAAATTTGCTGTTCATTTGCTGTGCATGGAACATGTATTCAAACAAGACTATATATATTTTTTTCTAAGTTTCAGTGGCAAGTTTTTTAAGAAAGTCTTTGAAATTAGACTCGACACTATTACGTTTTTCCCTAAATGTGAGAATAAGTGGACAAATTCATTGTGTTTAATTATTTTAACATCCAAATTTATCAGATTAGTGGTACTTTTCTTGGGAACATTTTTTAGACTACTAATTATTATTATTTAAGATTTAATTATTTAAATTTTGACTGCCAGATGATTTTTTCCCCCAATTCATGTTTCTCTTTGACCAATATAAGGAAAATGTTGGTTTAGCATACAAACTTTTCCAATCCAGGACACAAATATGATCTTGGAATGCAAGCCGTTTACTGCTTGCTTGTACTACTCTGACTTGTTATAAATAGACCGTGGATGTGCAGTTGTCTATGTGCAATGATGAGTTGACCCTGTGCAATGAGAGGCATCTTTGATCTTCTACTCATTCGGATTTTCTCCCACCGCACACCTCCTTGTAGAAATGACAAATGATCCAACGCACGCCTTGAAACCACACAGGCCCCAAAATAAACCTTTGTTTCATCCTGGAGTCCAGGAAGCAAAAAAAAAAGGTGGGGGGGGGGTTGGCATGTGGATGTTCTTCATTCAAAGAATCTGACTTTCAGTGGGCCCTCTCACTGTGCAACCACGTGGGGAGCAAAGCAGTCAGGAGACGAGACTTATAAATCTGATGAGAGCATATCGACATCTGTCACTGGGTCGAGCTACATGGGCTTCCCAAGGTTACCGAGCTTGTGCTGAGCAAATCAGGCGACTTATATTTAGCCTTGCAAATGGCGCACTATGGATTATGTCTTGGGGCTCTCCAGTTTCGTCTTCAGTGCGTTTCGTTGCATGAAGGGAGGGTTGTGGATCTCCAAAAGGCTGCTGTTCAGGTGAGGAGGAGGCCAACTTCATGGTTTCAGACCATCTCTCCTTTGACTTAAAGTCACCTTCTTTCCTTCTCACTGAACTCCATTTTCTCCCGTGTACACGTGCCCTCCGTCTGGGCAAAGGTGCGTTTATCTTCACTGTTCTACAGAAACTAGAGGGGATATCAGACATTCGAGCTGGACTGTCAGTTCTCTGGGCGAGAGCTGCAACGCATACCAGCAGGAGCCGGCCAGCGTAACTGGACTATCAAAGATTTTTTTCACCGGGGTGTTGAGGTTCGGGATCAAAGACTGTCATGGATGTACTTGCTTTAGAGGCAAAGAATGTAAATGGGGCAGACGCTGAAAAGAAGTCTGCTCCGAGGCCAAAACCAAAAGCACCCAAAAAGGCTAAAAGGATTGTTTACTTTGAGGTTGAGATTTTGGACTTGAAGACTAAAGAGAAACTCCTGCTTCTGGACAAGGTAGGTGTTGGAAGGCTTTTCAAAATTCATATGAAATAGAACTAGTTTGATTACTGACCATTTTCAAATATTCATATACCACTCTAAATTTTGCAACCCTCTTCACAATTTTAACCTTTAATGTCTGCATGGAAAATGGATGAAATGTGCTTATTTTATTTCCTTTTTCCAAGCTGCATTTTCAGTTGAACCTGCACTGGAAAACATTTAGTATCAACATGTGTCAGAGTAATACTTTGTGGGTGAAATGTGTTCCAAGTTGAGCAGGACGGTTATAAAGTCAGAGAAATCCTTTGGTTTAATCCAAATGAAAACATACAGTCGTGACTTTGACCATGATCGGAACTGTGCAGACATTTTTTCTATTTCACCGGTGGGGCCCAGCTCAGAAATAAAGCTGTGTCTGTTGAGTGAGGGTTGCAGTTAGGACGTGAGAATTCCCTTTTCATCGGACTGGAATTTTCTGTTCTGGCTACAGCACATGCCATCAGGCAAGGGCGACCAACATGATTTGCAGCTTGTGTAAATGTGCAGAGTTGTGCTCGTCACACGTGGGATTGAGTTGCACTTGTAAATTGGAAAATGCAAGTCCAGCTAATTCCGGACAAAATTAAAAACACAGACAGCGAAGTATATTTGTGCTTTGTCCAGAGAGAATTATTTTTAGAGACAATAATAATGCCAAATATATGTTCTATCCCTCCAATTTGGTTCTAGGTGGAACCAACTTCCACCATTTTGGATATTAAAGCTTTGTTTCACAAGTCATGTAAGTTGAGAGTTGCAAATGGCTGTTTGCATTTGCACTATAACGGTGTTTACATTTTAAAATATCTGAACAGGAGCATAAATTTGGCATCAGCGAAGTGCCTTGTTTTATCTTTGACAGATCCAAAGTGGTATCCAGCCAGACAATGCCTGCGTTTGGATCCAAGTATGTCGGCCTGCAAACATTCCTTCTAACCTTCTTCCAAATCGTGTGATTGACAGCTCTTTGACAGCTGTGAATGTTTTTTTTTTCTCAGAGGGCAAGAGTCTCAGAGATGAGGAAGTTCTCCAAACACTTCCTGTGGGAACCACGGCCAGCTTTTACTTCGGTGACCTCGGACCCCAACTCACATGGGGAACAGTGAGTAATGGAAGCACCATCCCTTTTACTTTCCAAGTAAAGGGGATCTTATAGTGGAGGTTTTTGGAGAGAATCCTCGACCAAATCCTGTTTATATTTTAGCATGACTGAGCAACAGCAAATAAACAAACGCTATGATCTTTGTTAGCTGTGACATGAAGAAGGCCACATCACATTTAACAATATATAGATTATACTTTACTCACACTGCTTTTACAAATACAACTAATTCCCATACTTATAATGATAATAGTAATGATACTGGTGATGTCAGTGTGTACTGGGTTGGGATTTGGTAAAAAGTCTTTGAGGCGTGAAGATGTGGAAAGGATCTCTGGTTTGAGAGAAAATCAATGAAATATTTAAAAATGGTGTTCCTGAATTAAGCTTGATAGGATCTGCGTATCTTTCTGTCATACCCAATACAGAAAAAAATCATTTAAAAAAAATTCAAGGACCGAAAACATCTCCGGACAGCAGTGACAGCTGACGTGGAGCTTCTGTGGGAAGCAGCACGACACCGGGTTGAATTCAGAAGTGTGTACCGAGTATATTTAGGTCACCTTCTCTGAGCTCCGCTGATATTTCAGGAGCCATTTTGGGAAAAATGGATGTGTATTCTTAAGAAAAAGGGGAGACAAAGACAACGGGCGTATTTCAACCTGCTACGAGCAGCGAGGCCAGAGGGCTCTGTGAGGGCATTTGGGTGTATCAGTGGAACAGCTCAGCACTTCTGGGAGGCAGGATTTACACAGACGTGATGGATCAACGCTCACCAGCAGGCGGCCGGGTGCTTTTCACAGTACTGAAAATTAGCAAAGAGAATAAACGAGCAGCTTGTCAAGTGATTTGTTTTACCGCGTAAAATGAAGCTGGATTTTTCTTGCTTTTTAAGGTATAGAGCCTAATTACAGTTTTCAAGATATCCACAAAACTTCTGGTGCCTTTTGATGTATAAAAGTGAGAAGTGGGCTATGCTGCAGCACTAATGCAGAACAGATTGTTTTGAATTTAGAGGGACATATGCTGCTGTCAAAATCTTGTGTTTTCTAGGGACATCCACCTTTCATTTTTGGTTCCCGGGACAATGGTAACTGCATTGGAATGGGATGGTAACTGCATCATGTTACAAAAGCGTGGCCAAGGGGGAGAAAGGAATTTAATTTTGTTGGGAAAAATCCAATGCTGAGCTCATCGTGTGTGCATCTTGAGATGTTTTTTGCATTTAAAATATTACTTGTCCTGCACAAAATACGTTAAAGGCTTTACTACTTCCACTTTGTTTGAATACTTTAAAGACTTGAGAGGCAAAACTGGATGTATATTCACAAATAAAACATAACATTTGGGAATCTTATGGTCTCCGCAGTGAAACAGAGATCAGCCGTTGCATTGTGTTTTTAAAAGTATTTTCCATATCGCCCCACCTTTTTTCTGAGAAGCATCCCTTTACTTTGAACATAATCAGACACCCTTTTTACACACCCAATAACTCTTGAATATAAATATCAGGCTTCAGTGACAGATAGAGGTTCTTTGCCTTGGTTCACTTTTCACCACCTCCTGTTTGGTCCGTCCTCTGTCCCAGGACATATAATCTCATGACCCCATTTCTGCCCGAGGTGTTTATCCCCCTAACCTCTCACTTGCCTTTAGCTGCGCCTCTTTCTTCACCCTCAGCCACTCAGTCTTTGCTTCCCCCGTCCTTACCCACCCTGGCACAGCCCCCCAGCACCCTTCTGGGATTTAGACTAATGCCAGTGTGGGTGGAGAAGCATGAAGTGACCCAGCAAAGTTGACCCACAAGTAGCGACCAGTCAGCACGCCGGGCAGCAGCTCGGCCGGAGGAGCTGACTCAGGGATTTGTTTCACCAGCTGCTGAGCTGCTCCGCTTGAGCCTATCAAATCATAAAAAAAAGTCTGCTCGAGTGTCTTTATAGACATGCGTTTTGGACCGTATTGCCATTTTGGTTAATGTCACTGCTGAGTGGAAGGCGCTGTTTTTGCTTGGTAAAGGAGACTGTGTAAAACGAGCTGCTGGAGAAGCTGGAGTCAAAGCGGTGTCAGTTGATAGTGATTAGTCAAAGCAGTCGGGGCCACGCCGGTGTCAGTTGCGTGTTCCGCCGTCCTTTGGCAGAGGCTCTGGCCAACCGCCGTTCCATCCAAACAGAAGTTTCATATTCTAATGTCACTCGTGAATTATTTAATGCAGAAATGCAGAATGAAAAAATTCACTGAAACTTTCTTTTCATTGGATTTTTTCTTTATTTAGTTTTGCATGCGCTCGTACATTTCTTGTCAGCCTGGTTGATTTGGATCAAAAACAGCTTTTAAGGCCCTCATCTGCTCTGTGGCTGCAGGTGTTCCTCGCGGAGTGTGCAGGTCCTCTGATCCTCTACCTAATGTTCTACTTCCGCCTTCCCTTCATCTACCCTCCAAAATATGACTTCACCACCAGCAAGCACTGGATCGTACAGTGAGTGTCGGCCCGCAAAGGTTTTCTGGGATCTTTTCTAAACATTGCATCACACGATTCTTGGCTCTGCACAAACCCCCACCACACATAATCGGATCTGAACATGCCAGTGTGTGTTTGTGTGTATGTCCTGTTTCAGCTTGGCCTGCATGTGTCACTCTTTCCACTACATCAAGAGGATTCTGGAGACAATGTTTGTCCATCGTATTTCCCACGGGACCATGCCCCTGAGAAACATATTTAAGGTGAGGGCCGGACACTCGGACTTCTGAACACGTTCGTCACTTGACCAAACTGAACTGGACCTCTGCGGAGCGTCACCTAGACAGCTTGACTTATTATAGACACGTTCTCTATTCCAGAACTGTGGCTATTACTGGTGCTCTGCAGCTTGGATGGCATATTACATCAACCATCCTCTTTACACCACACCGTGTAAGTGCTGACCAACGCGATTCTCGCTTTAGCTCATCACTCAGAGTTGATATCTTAAGTTGTTCCTCTTTGAAATATCTGCAGTTTACGGGCAGCAGCAGGTGAACGCAGGCTTATATATTTTCTTGGTAAGTCTGAGATTTGTTCAATTTGCCCAGCTGTTGCTGCACTGGTGCTCATCCTTTTTTTTATTTTATTTATTCCTACAGTTCTGTCAGGTTGGGAATTTCTCCATCCACGTCGCACTGCGTAACCTGAAACCACCAGGTGAGCATTCACAAAAGCATTTTGAACAGCTCCCTCTTATTGCTCAAAGCCACCAAAGGCTTTACCTCCTTTTTTCAGGTTCAAAAGTCAAGAAGATTCCTTACCCGACGAAAAATCCCTTCACCTGGATATTCTGGCTGGTCTCTTGTCCGAACTACACATACGAAGTAAAAGCTCACTCAAGTCCACCGTTCACATATTTCACTGAAATATTGAAGCAGCGTGTGTTATTTTGTATGCAGTCCAGAGGTCTGTGCGTTGTTTAATTCTTGATGGCGAGTGCTGTTGCTGCCATCTACTGGCACCGAACAGTTCATGTAACATTGATGTGTGTGTTTTTGTGTGTGTGTGTGCAAACCTCTTGCTCACAGCTGGGATCCTGGATCGGCTTCACAGTGATGACCCAGTGTGTGCCTGTGGCTTTCTTCACTCTTGTGGCCTTCATCCAGATGACTGTGTGGGCTAAAGGCAAACATCGCAGCTACTTAAAGGAGTTTAGAGATTATCCCACGCTCCGCTCCTCCATACTGCCCTTCATCCTGTAAAGCCAGAGAGAGAAAACAACCATTCTGACACATTCAATTCCTCACAGGCTGAGTTTCTTTACGGATCTCTTCATTGATTGGGTTGTTGACACTAAATGCATTTTGGTTCTGTTGACTCAGTGTTCTACTTCTGTTGAGAGGAGTAACCAAGGGGAAAGCGTAGGACCGTTACAGGGAAATGACAATGGAGAAATGCAGCAAAGTCTTACTTTTTGTGTTGTAAGTTATTTGTTCTTTTGAGTTTGTAAAAAAAACAAAAAACATATTCATACATATATATGTATATATATGTATACATACATAAACATGTGTGCACTCACAGAGATCCCAGTACTTTCACAGCTTTGGCAGCCTAATCAGAAAAGTGTCCCACTGAGATGAGAAACCACATCTGCATGATTAACCTGCAGCCTGGAGCTGAAAACGTTGTATAATCATGCAACTTATCAGGTAAAAATGATAACAACACCTTTGACACCTTTTCACAACGGTAATATGAGCTAAAATGAACTTTGGTGTGTTTAAAAATCAGAATCCTGCTATAATATTTCTGACATTTCTGTTTTCTGAGAATTTTAAATTTTAATTTAAAATTCTGTTTACAATGTTTGACTCAGTGGATGTAATATTCTAACCCACATTTAATAAAACTTCAGGAAACGACTGTACAGAGACATGAGCTTTATTTGTGACTGGAAGAAGTGTTTGTATTACAGATAAAAGGGGAGGCAGACTACTCGATGTGGAATGTTACATTTAAAGCGGCGGGGTTAGAAAGAACAAAAACCACAAAGCAAGATCCGAACTGTAAACAGGTAACATAAAATATTGCATTTCATAGAGATCTGCTCTGTAAACAAAAGTTGATCGCCTGAACTAAATTTAAAATATATTCAGTGCAATATTTCTTGCAAGTTTATTATTTAATTTGCTTATGAATTAAAGCACATTTTTATTAAGCTGCATATTTTCTGGAATTGTTTCCCCAAATTAATTATTGTTGGACCACAAACATCTAATTAAGACGAGACAAAAAAAATAATAACAACAAATAAAAAACATCAAGTACTTGTAAATCACAAGGGTTATATCTCAGTTTCCAAATACACTGAAGACATAACCCAAATCAGCAGCTACTAGTGGAATGATAAGTAAGGAATAAAATTCTGTGCAAACACATTTATAGTCCGACTTAACCAGCATTTGATGAGATTTGATGAGACGGAAAAGCACAGCTGATGTTGTCCATGTTGCTGCGTGGCCGTCTCCTTTTGGACCAGAGCCGGCCGGTGCCGTCCCACAAAAGTCCATTTTCTCTGGTGGTCCACTTGCTGCTCGGCTCGGCTCCCGTGGCGGCCTGCAATAAGCTAATGCTTTACAAACGCAGGAAGGTCACTGCTGCTCCACTTAAAAAAAAAAAAAAAAAAGTACTGTCCCCTGCAGTCTACCCGGTCCACAGCGGGGCCACAGGGCTGAAATGAAAACCATTTGAATACCAAAGACCACAATGAGAGGTAGGATGACTGTCTTTCAGTTTCTGGTCATTCTCACAGTGAAGGTGAATTCCACCGCAGCCTCCCCCCCCCCTCCCAACCCCCACCCCCACCCCCCTCTCCACGCACCCTCTACATATGATGCATATATGAGGGTGGGTGGGAGGACCCATATGGGAGAGGGACTGCATGCACGTTTGAGTCAATATGGCCTCCTCTGCCATGTCCGTCATCGCTTCAGATGTCTTCGTACTCCAGGAAATGGGTCCTCTGCAGCACCTTTACATGGCGCTCGTAGATTTTGAGGGCGGGCCCAAGTCGGATAGACAGGCCGGTCAGCACGTCGCTGCGCTGCATTAGGAGAAGGGACTTCCCGTCTATCTCCTGTGGAGAGGGGGAAAAAGCATGTTTCTTTATTCAGGTTTAAGCTCCCGAAGGCCGTGTAATATCGGCAGACGCTTTTCAGAGGCCGATGCGGACGAAAAGCTCCGAACACCTGCACTGACCTGTGTTCGAAAGGCCACCGCCTGCTCCGGAAACCCCGCCGCCGAGAAGTAGCTGGCCACGTCTGCCACCGTCCACTGCAGCAGGTTCTGGCTCATCTTCTCCTTCTTCACCGAGCTGCAGCAGGAGCAGTTCAAACAGAGTCACCACCATCCCCAACCCGTCGTCCCGGCGTGCTGGAACTTTTCAGACGTGGACGTGTGTGAGCATTTCGAGTGAACAAAAGGTGAGCCGAAGCCCCGAGCGGAAGGTGGATCAGACACCTTTAGGGGTTACAAGACCTCCTGGTAATTGGTTGGTAAAGTCCAGCGTGCTCAGGTAGTCCTGACCGTTAACAACGTTTGGTTTCTTATTCCTAATTTTCCATGTGAATGAGCATTCAGAGAGGGAGATCATGATACTCACAAGTCATCGTCTTTGTCACCGTTGACAAGAACGTCCTCGGCCGTTGTTAAGGATATGTCTACCTTCTTAAATGCACCTGTGGACAGAAGGACAATGCTCAATATTAAGAATATTTTTAGGAGTTAAAGAGGAAAATGCTGGAAAATGTGTTTCAGAATTCCCTGACAGTCAGCTGTGTGATGAACCGTCATCAGGACATTTAGAACCAAGACGGAATTAAGCCTCTATGTTCTCGTATTCTGTCTCATGACTTGCTCTGAGGTTTGGTTCATGCTTAGAACAGTGAGGGTTTCAGAGAACGAGCATTTTGACAGTCCCTAACCATCTCCGTTTCCTTTCCGACGATGCTAGCTCCACAAGAAAAGTACCGAGGAATGGCGTGGCAGGGAAAGCGGGCCCCACCTGGATGGAAGGCAGCAGCAGCAGGGACGCCTTTTCAAGCATTCCAAACATTTTGAGCGAGCCTCGAGGCAAACACCGGTAGAAGCCGCCAAACAACAACAGGAACGAGCTTTTTAGCTCGAAGCTGTCGCTGACGCGTTTCCCCAAACACGTGCGTAGTTTTTATCAGACACTGTTTTCCCCAAACCAACACTCACAGCTGTCGGAGGGCAGGGGCAGAGTCTGTGACCTTCCATCGGACGCGCTCCTGGTCTCGTCCTGTGGGGCCCAGGAGAAAAACAAGAGCAAAGCTCAGTCAACGCGGAACTGCAGAAGAAGGAGGCACACTGCTGTAATATCGCGGGCAAATTACCAGCCGCGCGGCGTAGTCCGGCACCAGCTGGTCAGACAGGAGGCTGCTGTCCTCCGCCTTGCCTCCATCTTCTTTCTTCATGTTGTTCAAAGCACAGGGGCTGCTGGTTCCAGAGTGGACAGCTGGCTTCAGGTCAGCTGCTACACAGAGACGGCCAATTACAAACCAATTATGGCGCCGATATCATCTCGCCTGGCCACACCAGAATACATTCAAAAGCAATTATGGACCAGCGCGGACTAAATTTACCTCAGTGATTAGTTTAATAAACTGAAACTAATACTAACGCAAAAGCAGAGCAGGCTGAGGCTGAATGACTAGTACAGAGAGGCCAGGGATCCAGTGGACCTCAGAAGGGGGATCACTAAGCTGAACAAATGCATCATTTTCTGCATCTAGCTTACTGGGCTTCTACTCAATTTATCATTTTTGGTGCGACAAAGCTCCCGCTTGGTGTCCGTGGCAAAGCCGAGCATAAGCTTGCGCATAAAATCAAACTGGGGCGCTCCGCGATCTCATGTGTGCACATGATCGTGTGCGCGGGCGGCGGTGTGCATACCTTTGTCCTTCTGCATTCCTGGGTGCTGGCGCTCCACTGGGCACACGGCAGCATCATAAGCCCAGTCATTGTGCGCCAGGGCCCGGGGGCTGGAGGGGGGCAAGGAGCTGGGCCTCTCCCCGGCCTTCTGGAGGGAGGCGCAGTCCGGAGCGGAGCCGGGGCCGCAGGGAGGGCCGGGCCCGGGCCCCGGCCGGGGGCCGGAGGGGGAGCAGGGGGCCGAGGCGGCCCGCTCGGGGCCACAGTGCACAGGGGCGTCCTCCCGGGCGCCCCCGCCGCCCCCGCCGCCGCCGGGGGACGCCCCGTCCTGCCCGTCCTGGCTCTCCTCAGCCCCCTCCTCGTCCGGATTACTGTCTGTGTCCATGGCCATGGAGGTGTCCGCCTGCGGGGCAAAAGCAGGGCTGCAGCGTCACGTTTCATGTTCAGGACTAGGGGGCCGTTTCAGAAAACACCACACCGAAATCCCCATCAATACGTCATCTGCGTTTCTGACCAACTTGAAAAGCACGTCCGCTCTCTTCTCCTGCGAGGGCGCGCACGGGGCTGTTGTCATGACTGAGTGGGACTAATTGTAGGCTGGGGGCGTCACGTGCAAAGGCTCGTACACATGTGGCTATCTAATCGTGGTGGGAAAGGACTGCCTTTGCAGACAGACCGGGAGACCTGTCATCTCAGACGCGTTTCCAACCGAGATGTCTGGTTGGATACAAGTTTTTTTGGGGTTTTTCTTTTTGTTCCCTTTTTTTTCTCTACCATATGCGCTCATTCCCGTCATCTGGGCTGAGGAGGAGGGGTGGGGAGGTGGTGGAGTTGGGGGGTGGGGGGAGTTTCGACGGCGCCCGGGGTGAAAAATTACCTTGTGTGCGACTGCGTGTCCGAGACCCAGCAGTCGAGCACAAGAGCGCACCAGAGCCCACCCCGCTCCGGCAGCGAGAAATAAATAAATAAATAAAAAAAGAGCCGCTTGCACGAATTCCGCGCATCGGGCTGCGTTTCACACAACTTTCACCGAGACACTGTGAGCAAAAAAGAAAAAACCTCACGCCCCGTGGATCGGATCCCACAGCATCTTATCTCGGTTTCGCGCAAACGTGGCGATGTGCTCGGCGCGTCCCCCCCCCCTCCACCCCCCCGGTTCCAGAGGCCTTGTTGATCGGCACGTTTAACAAGAGAAAAGAGCGAAGGGGGCCCGATGGGTGGCGTTTTTCTCTCTCTCTCTACCCCCCCCCCCCCCTCTCTTTCTCTCTCTCAAATTTCCTCCAAAGTGCGCATGGAGTTGGGAGCCGCGGCGGGGACCTCGCCATTGTGTCTGTGCTCTTTACCAGCGCGCTCCCGGGGCCGAGCCGCGGCTCCACAGACCCGAGATTAGAAGAAGGGGGGGGTTGAAAAAAGGAAAAAAAAAACGAGCTTTCACTCGACGAACAGACCAGCGCAGTGGTCCGGCCGCGGCCGACGCCGGCCGCCTCCCCCCCACCCCCTCCCTTACAACCCCCCCAGTTCCCGTCCACTTTGACTTTGCACTGGGTCAACGATTTACAGTCAAAGCGAGTCACCGTCAAGTACACACGGCGAGACGAGTCCGTTATCGGACACGTCCGCGTCCCCACGGCCCCCCTAAACCCGGGGAAATAGCCCCCCTTAAACCCGGGGAAATAGGGTTATCCGCCACCGAAAGGGGGGTTCGTTTAAAGTAACGCGGCGTTTTCACGTTCCGAAAGCGGACGCGCACGTCTTCCAGAGAACAAAGTCAATTTGATCTGGGCTTAACCCAGATCGGACGGACGCATCCGCCATCTAGCGCCAGACGGAACAGTTTGCGGCCGCTTCTGCTCCGGCGGGGTTTTTTTTTTCTTTTTCACTTTGCGGTGCGATGATCGGTCTGGAAATCCTGCCGCAGGTCGTCGGCAGACACGGGGGAGGAACATATGCCCCCCCACACCCCCCCAAACCCCCCTCCCCCCGGTGCCCAGAGCGAGAGCGGCCCCCCAAAAAAACGACCGTGAACGCCGCGCGTAGTACGTGACCGGCTTCGGTTAGGGCGTCCGACAATGGACGCAGGGGTTCGACTTTATGCACTGCGTCGACAATCACAAACAAATGGCCCGGAAACTGGCCGGGCCAACTCGTTACATCTGTCTCGGGAGTACTTTCTTATTGATATTGGAACAGTTGGTCGTTGTTTGGACGGGGGGGGGAAAAAAAAAAAAAAACGGGGGAAAAAAACCGGCCTTTTTTAAAAGTCGGGGGGTAAGGGGGGGGGGGTGTTGTCAAGTGCAGCCGAAATGCACGCGCACGTTCACGTGGTGTTCCTGACATCGCCTCTGAAGGCCGAACTCGTTTAGTGGGGATAATACAATCAACAAACAACAATGTCCCATCGTCCCCCCATCAGGCTCCTACATCCGCGGCGTTCGAGACTTTTTTTTTTTTTTCTTCCCCCTTCACCCACTCCCACATCAGTAAGCCCGCGTCAACCGACACAGGCACGCCCGCGTCTGCGTTCCATAATAAAACGGACACCGGCCCGGAGCTCGAAGGGTCGCTATTATTTTGAAAGGGCGCCCGCTTTACTTCCGGGCTAACGCCGCTCGTTTCACCGCTCCGTAGAAACGCCGAGTTTGGGGCTCGAAAAGCGCTTTCTGCCGCCGGTAATGGAGGCTGGGCTTTCGGCCGACGCAACTTTTCCCCTGTTTGCCGTTTTTTACGGCCGCGACGGTCGTTCCGAGCGCCGTGCGGCCGGAGAGAACATTACAAATACAAGAAAAGACACACTCGCGCCACACGCGCACCTTCTTTTCTTCTCCCCCCCCCCCCCCCCTCCTCGCGCCCCCCTCCTCCTCCTCTCGGTAGCGCTCGTGCGAGGTCCAACCGCCGCTCCCCGTCTGCGGCAGTTTTAGGTGCACTTGCAAATCACTCCCCCCCCACCACCACCACCCCCCC